TTTGTCCTTCTGAGTAAGAGAGATTCTGCGCTGTAAAAAATTCTCATATCCCAAGTTCACTGATTTCTACACCAACTACATTGGGTCCCAGGTCTACAAACCATTTCATCTCACCTGCTTTTCCACAAAGAGGAAAAAAACACCCTCAGTCCACTCTTGCCTTTAAGAAAAGTATCCAAATGCTTCTTCTTCTTCTTCTTTTTTTTTTTTTTCAGAGACAGAGTCTCACTTTGTCATCCTTGGTAGAGCACTTTGGCATCACAGCTCACAGCAACCTCCAGCTCTTGGGCTTAGGCAATTCTCCTGCCTCAGCCTCCAGAGTAGCTGGGACTACAGGCGCCCACTCACAACGCCTGGCTATTTTTTGTTGCAGTTTGGCTGGGGCTGGGTTTGAACCTGCCACCCTCGGTATATGGGGCCAGCACCCTACCCACTGAAACACAGGCACTGCCCTCCAAATGATTCTTTAGTAACTGATGTCCTTGTTCCAGATGAAATGCAATTTTGTGGTTCACCCACTTGTCTTCCATTCTTCCAGAGTTAGTGCTAGGTTTTTTTGCACTTCAGTATCAGGGTACTCTGTAATGTCAAGGGACGTTTTTGCAGTATCCATAGTTTCATATATTTCTGTCTCACAGAATGTCTCCAAGACCTCACTCGCAGCAGGCTACTGACCACCGCCTCAAGTGTCTCCCCCAGTGCCTGGCCACAGTCCCTCTTTTTGGTGTTTTTGTGTGACATACAATGACAGCTCTGATGGTCATTCCAAAAATAAATAGAGTTCCAAATTCCTTTGAAGGGTACACTAGGTGCTGGTATCAGTGAATAGCTTCTCCAGGGGAGTACTTTGAAAGCAACCATCATGATATTCAGCAATGAGGTATGTAGCACTGTAGGAAGAGTTTATGAACTTGTGAGAATATATATATATATATGGGGGGGTTGTATACACATACATACAAATACTAGGAGTATTTGTAGGAGTACTACTAGGTCATAAAAAAAATTAAATAAGGGTAGTGCTGTGGCTCAAAGGAGTAGGGCGCTGGCCCCATATGCCAGAGGTGGTAGGTTCAAACCCAGCCCCGGCCAAAAACTGCAAAAAAACCAAACCAAAACAAACTCTGTCTATATATATATATGAATTAAATAATGTCTTTTGCAGCATCTTAGATGGAAGTATAGACCACTATCCTAAGTGAAGTGTATCAGGAATGGAAAAACAAAAACCACATATTTTCACTTATAAGTGGGAACTAAACTAGGGGTATATATATGGTCATAAAGTGGTATAGTGGACTTTAACAACTAAGAAAGGGGGGTGGGAGGGAGATGAAAGATAAAACTACCTCTTGGGTACAGAGTACACTATGTAGTGATGGGTACACTAAAAGTCCTGATTTCAGCATTGTGCAATGCATCCATGTAACAAAAAACATTTGTACTCCTTAAATATATAGAAATAAATTTAATAAAAAGCATGCAAATTATCTGACTCCACTACAGACCTACCTAATCAGAAATGTTAGCTCCCTGTGGCCTAATAGCCCTTTAGGGCTACCAGATTGTAAAGCAACCCACTTCTTTGAAAACAAAAATTCTGCTGGTAACTTTAGTATATCATGGGATTTAGATGTCTTGAGGTGCAAGCTCAACCAAGGTCATGCTACTACTCGTGCTTTGTTAAATGACTACATTCTTTGACTTAATTCAAAAGCTTGGAAATTAAAAACAAGTTAGATAATATAAATTTGCTTTGGTTTACATGAGTACTAATTATTACAATATTTATTTGACCTGTTCACCATTTTTAAATGCCTAAGTGTCATACTGCTTAAAATTACTTCTTAATATATCTTTAAAATATGTATTAGATAAGCTTAGTTCTGTGTTTGACTTTGTTATATAGGCATGACTGTCTCTTTAAAACTTTAAAGAATTAGAACATTATGATTTTACTATCCTCCTTGCCATGGGAAGATACCGTGAAAGAGATAACCTGAAACTGTTTTATGACATGTATTAAGATCAATAAAACAATTGCTGTGTAAATAGAGAACAACCCTTCCTGGAAAAGATCAGTTGTACACATATGTTCCTCTGCTATTGCATATGCTGTAAGTTGCGATGTGGGGGGAAAGGGCTCCAATATAAAATGTGCAATACCAGAGAACAGCAAAGCTGTGCACCACACAGCGTGTGATGAGTTGACAAAATGAGATAAGAACATCACCAAATCTCCTTGGTTTGGGGGTCCTTGTGTCTTCCCTGGTCACAGAAGTTTGGAGGCTGTAACTGAGTAGTTAGGATTTATGTAAATGAGCTGCAGAGAGAAAAGAAAATCTTGAAATACAAAAAGTATAGTTTATCTAGGATGACTATAGTTAACAATAATTTATTGTATTTGAAATGTTCTCAACACATTTGAGAAGTGATAAATGTTTGAGGTGATGGATATCCCAATTACCCTGATTGATCATTCACTACACATTATATGTTTGCATCAAAACATCATATACCCCATAAATATGTACAAGCATTATGTATCAATAAAAATAAATATATTTATGAAACATTTCAGAAATGTACTATAATCATATAATTGCATAGTATAATTATTATAATTATAATAATCTACAATGCAAAGTAATTAGGAAATGCCAAGAAGCATCAAATGCTGTGTTGAACAAATGACAAAATTGCATCCAACTCTTTTGCAACAATTTACATCTGCTTCTTTACATCCACAGCAGAGTCACTTACAAATCAGTCCCTGGTTGCCTATTACTCCGCCTGTGCCCCAGTGTTGACAAACTTCTGATAGGATCCTTCACTGCTGTCAAAGGTTAAGAGTTAACTTAGGCTAACGATAGTCCAATCGGTTATGGTCAGCTTATAACCAGACTTGTCCTCTGCTCTCCACTTGAAAATTGAATTTCCTCTCCATTTTCACTCCACCACTTTTCATCACTCTAGCTCCTAACAGCCAGTAGACCTAGAAAGAGAAAGCTCCCCTAAATCCCCAGCCTAAGTTCCCATTTCATGTTTGAGAATCTCCCTTTTCCCACTTCCCTACCCAGTAAATCTCACCCCACCCCCGGATACCCAGTGGGCTGCCCTCTACAGACCAGCAGCTCTAGCAGAGCACTAGCCTCTCTTTGGGTTATTAGCCTTAAAGTAACACTTAGTGGAGGACATCCACAGCGCAGTCCAGGTAGCATACCCTGAGGGGCTGCCCTCTTGTCCTTTAAACTGCTCCACTGCCAAACTGAAAAGCAACACTTGGCAGCAAGGGTATTCTAAATCCACACGAGACTAAGGGAGTATTTCTCCCAGATCCCCCCAGCCAGCAGGGCTTCATAGACCAATGTCAAGCTTAACTGTGCACCACTCTTCACACAACCAAAGGCCTACCTCGGAGTCAGAGAAATCTGCATCTAGGTTTGCGAGGAAATCATAATCACATCCACAAACAATGAGTGTGTACAATTTGTACTTTCATTAATAAATAATGAGTCCAATCAAATCGATTTCTCAGAACAAGGGAAAGGCTTGCCTGAAAGTAAATTCAGCATCCTACTCTTTCAGGGAAGCAACACATGCATTTTATTATATATATATATATTTTTAAGTCAGAAAATTGCTGTGAAGAAAACATCACTGGGCTCTATACTCCCATCATACTAACATTTTTCTCTATATACATATGTAATACAGTAATAAAGTGATATATGCACATGCCATGAGAATTCAAATAACATTTTAAAAACTCCATTGTAAATATAAGTTCCATTTTTAGAAAGTAGAAACTCCAGGCAGCAATACAGATGTGTATTTCTTGTTTTCTGTTTAAGTGTCTGTGGCACTCTATTATATGGCTCTATCAAAATTTATTTGACTAGTTCCTTTGTAATGATTTATAGACATTTAGGTTTTCAGAAGGTCTGGGGGGAACGAGCAGTTTCAGAAGGTCTGGGGAAAGTTAGCATTCTTATACATAATGCTGCAATAAACAAGCTTTATGCTGATGATTATATAATAGTACAGTATTATGATCATGCTTGTAAGGAATTCTTAGTAAGAGAATTGCTGGGCCAAAAGTCATGGACATTTTAAATTTTGAAAGATTTTTTTTGGTAACAATTTACCTTCCCAACACTGCATATTATCACATTTGTTATGTTTTGCCAGTCTGATAGGTGGAATATGATATTTTATTGCCTTGCTTTAGATTTGTTAAATATTTTCATTGGTTCATTGGCCATTTGTATTTGTTTTCAATTAGCCATATGTCCAAATCTTTTGCTCACATTCCTATTGAATTTTTCCTCTTTTCCTTGGTGAGTTGTACGATTTCTTCATAAATAAAAATACAGGGTCCTTATTAGTATTATTATTATTTGCTGCAAGTATGTCTTCCATTATGTCTTTTATCTTTTAATTTTGTACATGTTACTTTTTGTTCTGTGAAAGTTTCAAATATTTATCCAGTCTGATTTAAATATCCTTTTCTTTATGGCTAATGAGTATGTATAACTTTTAAATGACATTTTTACAGATTGTACCTAGTCATGTTTTGAAAACACCTTGTCCTGTCCACAGGGTAGAGTCCATCCTTGCAACGTGGATGCTCCAGTAATACCAATAAGTAATAATAAGCACTGAACAGTGAGGCTAATGATAGGATCCAAGGGTTTGGGCCTCATATGCCTCCTCAGAACAGATAGATCTGGGAATCAGAATTCCTTTCTTCACAGCCTGAGACTGGCCTAGACATCCCAATGAATGGGGGCATCCCAGTGACTACATCCCTTTACAGAATCAATCATGCTTTTCTTCTGCTGAAATAGCAGATGGTCAACTGCTAAATACCATCCAACTCATGCTATTGGAGGTTTTGTTGTAGGGGTATTTTTTCTACTTTTGTGTTCACGAAGGGTGAAAACCTTTCTTAAGCAGCCTAGTCATTAATATTTTATACTAACTTTTGTTTCCTACAGGCAGCTTCAAAAGATGGTCCATGACATTAAGAACAATGAAGGTGGAATAATGAACAAAATCAAAAAGTAAGCTAGACTCTATTTAAATATATAGTTGTATAAGATAAGTCAGCCTGTGTTATGCTGAAGAAAACAAATTTCTCTGTTACCCAAGTGAGGAGTTACAACCTTATTCACATATAACCCTTTCTAGCTATTGGTAGACTCCATGGTGGCTCAGTCCACATTCTAGAAACATAGTGAGTAAGTGGGTGGTACTCAGGGAACTTTGATATCCTTCTCATTGCAGGAAAGGTAAGCTGTGCCCACTCAACGTGCCTAGCAAAGGTCAAAGCAGGAAAATCAGTTCTATAACCATTCAGCTGAGGGCAACCAAGACACGCTTGGGGAAATCTGAATGAGAAGTTACAAAATACAGCCACACTGGTTTTCTATATTTTGACTTCTGCTTTTTAAATTATTGCCTTAAAATGGTGTTTATATAGCTGGCATTTGGAAAGGGAAAGCTAGAATCCCAAAACTTCTTGTATACTAAAAACTCTTAAGTGTTTTTTTTAAAGAAAATAAGAAATGGTACATAATTGCATTTGCCACTCAAAATCTACATCATGAGAAAAGGAAAAATGATATTCTGTTAAGTTTTTAAGTTTTTTTAAATGAAAGTAATACAGATTCACCAAGAAAAAAGAATTCAGAATTATAGGAGGTCAAAGTTTCCCACTTCCTCCTATCCCCACTTTAACAATTCCTAGAAACACTGTCATAGTGAGTTCAGAATATATATCCATGTGTCTATGTTTACACACACATGCATACACTGACATAGCATGTACCTAAACACACACACAGTTGGCATCATACTACCTCTCCCCTTCTACCAACTTGTTTTGTTGGTTATATTTAATGTTGTATCATAGATATTCTTCTTTGTTAGTAAGTAAAAATAAGCCAAGTTCTCTTTTGAATAGCTGACTAATAGTCTCCTATCAATGTATTATAAATCAGTTAACCAGCTACATAGTAGTGGGCAGTTTTTGAGGTGGGGGATGTGTGAATTTAAACTGGCACAACATTTGGGACGGCAATTTGATAATATCAATAAAAATTTGCTGGCCATTTCTTTCAGTCTGTCACAAGTAATTCTTCAATAAATATCCTTTGCAGACCTCAAGTGTACCAGTAATTCCTGACATGACATTTCTGAATGGAAGGAGTTGTGTTCTTAACATTTTGGTTGCTATTACCAAGTTCTTTTCCCCAAATTTTATCCCAGAAATAGTATGTAAAAGTTCATTCCTCTATGTCTTCAGAACAGAGTATCTTTATTCTCTTATTCTTTTTGATCTTTGCTAAAGTTAAAAGTAAGAAAATGCTTTTGGTGGTGTGTTTAGACTATAAAATGTAAATGAATCTCACTATATATAAGTGATCATCATAAAACAGTTAAAATGGTGAGGCAGCAGTCATCTTATAGAGGAGCAGAATTTGCCTCATGCTCTGTCCTGTGACTGAGAGAGGTGTGTGATTATTTTCATTGATTATTGCTGATCATATAGAATCTTATTGTCTGTGAGAGAGACCTGCTAGTCTTTGTTTCAATCACTAGCGGTTCTAGATGAACTCTCCCACAGTTGCCAGGTCTCTAACATACATTCTCTCAATCACGTGAAGGCTCTGCATAAAATGTCTCTCTATCCACGGTCACATGCTCAGCCCTATTTAAAGCAGCCACGGAGCTCAAATTTTTTCTAACAGTTTCTATTTCAAACATGCTGCCCATTGGAGAACAAAAACACTTTTATTGGACAAACATGTGTCTTCTCAGCCTGGAAAATGTGGCCACAATTAGTCATTACCTGGGTGAAGTCAAAGTCCTTCAGCTCAAAGTGACCCACAGTTACACTCCCACTTCAAGCCAGACGACAGGTGCTACCTTGAAAGGAGGAAGCACAACACACTGGTTCCTAACACAGACCACGACAGAATTTTCTCTGGTCTAGAGCCACGTGAGAACAGAAGGACCTTGAAGTGTTGGGGGTTGGTGCGCAGCTGCCAGCTACTAAGTCAAGTTCAAACCACACCCTTTATTCCTGGCCTCTGTTCAGTGGCCAACAGTCCTTTCCTGAGGCTGTCCTTTATTCTGACATGATTCGGGGGTGTTAAAATACCCTTTTTTTCTCTTTTTTTAAATTTTACTGTTCCATGAACTTACCTGAGCACTAGACCCAGTTTTGCTTTTGTTTTTTCTTCCCTACGCTATGGACACCAACCCTGGACCATCTCTGTCTCTGTACCTCACCATAGGAAATGCTGTCTTCCCAGCACACCTGCTGGCTTCAGAGGAGAATTGAATGAGATAATAAATATTGAAAGCCTGTAGAGGAAAAACAGAATTTCTATACAAATATAAATATTATTTTTGCAAAATGACAGTACTGGTTTTAAGTTCTTTTTGTGTGTTTTAATCAAACATGAATTTCTGTGCTGCTTTTTTTTTTGCAGTTTGGCCAAGGCTGGGTTTGAACCCACCACCTTTGGTATATGGGGCCAGCGCCCCACTCACTGAGCCACAGGCACTTCCCTGTGCTGCGGTTTTTTAAATAAAGAAATGAATATTTTGTATATAATGGTTACCCTCTATACTCCTTCTATAAAAGGACATGCTAGTTTAGTAAATAATGGCTACTGGGTATGTTTTATTTGTATATATTTTAAATTTCACTAAGCAAATCATTCTCGATTAAAATGGACAATTATTATTAAAATAATAATTTAGTACAAACTTTACTCATTTCAGACAATGGAAAGAGACATGGTGTTAGAATTTATAAAATGCCTGAAACTTGAGATTTTTTAAAATGTAATTTTAATTTTCTTCTTTTAAGGAGTGAAGGATTGTGAATATTCAGTACATTTCATATATGCAAAAAAATACTGAAGTAGTTTGGAGAGGTCTTGGAACAATCTGAATTCTCAATAAGCTAAACATCACAATCCCCAGCCTTGAGACACTCGTTCCCTTATTTGACATTTTGTAAAGTGGTGCCAAGACAATTTTAGCCTGACCTATAACTAAAATGTTTATTATAGTTAATTTTTGTCCTATTACTTATAGTATCTGTAAGCTGTCAAAATATAGGTCATCTTCTCTTAACTTCCTTGAACCTCCGCACTCAGGCCTCAGTGAGCCCTTCACCACCCAGCTTCACCTTTGCCAAGTGAGAGCCACATTGTGCACTGGGGGGATAGGGAGAGGTGGAAATCCGCGGACTAATGGCTCCGCTACACTTAGAATACATTAAATCTTTTGACATCATGGGTCCAAAACAAGCCATTATTCATTAGCTGTCTGTCTGTTATCTCCATATCAGCTTATGCCATGGGCCTTGACAGCAGCTGTCCTGCCCACTGACCTTTTGTCTGATGGTTGTTACCTACAGGTTAAAAGTCAAAGCTCCTCCAAGTGTTCCTCGAAGGGACTATGCTTCAGGTAAGAGTTTCTAAGATACTTCAACTGATTCTTGGCTAATTTAATATCCATATTTATATTCATGTTCATGGAAAGGGAAGCATGTTCACTCATTTGTAAACAAAAGGTGCTATCTTCATTCCAAGAATGGCCACAGCTAGTAGATATTTGACTACAAAGGAGACCTAGTATTTCCTCCATCCACCCATCTGTATATCATGTATTGGATGTAGCCAATGCACTGCCATGCATGTGTTACCAAGTACATATTAAACGTCTTCCACATGCCAAGCACACACAAGTTCTTAGGTAGAAATACAGTGCTAAACGCTTCAGATGTGGATGCCACACGCAACAGAATTTATGGTCTAGAAGGGAAGATAAGTGTAGTTAAAAGTAATTATAATTCAGAATGACAGGAAGGGGCCTTCATCAACTCTCGCTCATGCCTTTCTGAATACAGAAGCTTCTAATTCTCCTTCATTCCTAATTGCATGTGGTCCTCTCAGCCCCCACCAGAGACTGTTTTGAAATAAAATTCTCTTTAAGCATTTTTGTGACTCTCTATCACCAACAAGAGGAGTTGTAAACCACTAAAAGCTGCAAACCAGGTCCTTCAATGTCATACCACTAACTGGCTGTGTAACCTTGGCTGTCTCATTCTCCTTTTTTATATTATGTGGAGATTGGATCACAAGATCTGCCAGGTCCCCTCCACATCTGCGGGAGCCCAGATCTTTGAAGCTCAGGGCCCAGAGATGGAGCCAGCCTCTCCTAACATTTCCTAGCTAGGAATTATGCTTTCTTTCCTGAAACCTTCCAAATAATCTTGATATCAGTACAGTGTGCTTGATACAGCCCAATTGGATCTTCTAAGCCTTTGCCACACAAAGTGTGATTCCTAGCTTGGGAGTATTGGCAGCACCCAGGAGCTTGTTAGAAACACAGAATCTTGGCCCCACCCCAGAAAGATCTCCAGGGCCTTTGAATTTATATCACATTTGAGAAAATCTGCTATAAACCACCACCTGTGACCGTATTGCTTCTCCTGAACTGAAAGACAAATAAATCCCCCAACACCACCGAAGTCACTGATGTTCCAGTATCTCAGAAATGCTTCCTGTTGCTTTGCCAGGACAGTAGGGCCTGGCCCAGGCTCCCCTGGTCTTATACTCAATCCCTGGCAACAGTCCAAACCACTATCACCTCCTGCAGTTACTGCACTCCCTAACTGTGCTCTCCCCCACCCCAGTGCCCGTCCCAGGAGCATTTCCAGCTGCTTCCCCTGAGTCTTGGGGTCCCTGCACAGCTGCATGTCTAGGGCCTCCGAAATCAGCCCCAGGAGCTCCTTCTGACAGGGGAGTCTCTGAGGACCTTGGAGACTTAGTGCCTTGCGACCTGGGCCTGGGAGGCCAGTCAAGCACTCTCCGGAGGCCTGTGGAGACTTGGTCCACCCAGGGCTCCTGAAATAGCCCCAACCATTTTCTCCAGATGTGGATTCGTGTCTTCTTTCCAGTTCTGGGAGCAAATGGCTCCTCCAAACCCTTAAGCCAAGAGTGTACTGACCTTGATGATACTGACCTTCAGAGAGCAGAGGATGGAAAGGGCCAGTGCCCACCCGGAGGTCAGTGAAGAGTCACCATAGTCCTTCCCCTAGGGTACAGAAGGACAAAACTTGGATTGTAGAAAGAATAGCACCTGGTCCCTCCAGATCAGACCAATGTGGAGCCCCCAGCCTTTCTGCCTGTGCTTGGCAGAGGGAACATTGCCCACAGGGACCTTGTGGTTACTGAGCAGAGTTTGTCACTCCAAGCAGCTGGCATTACTGTGGGAAAGGAAGATATCCAACACCTGTTGGGTATTTATTCTTTTCGGGGTAGTATGCTAAACTCTTTGCAGACGCAGCTCATTTAATCTTCCCGTTAGCACCATTATATAGAAATGACTATTTCAGTTTTGCAGAGGAAGAAAAAGCATCTTGGGGACATTAAGTAACCAGGATGACTGTAGCCACTAAAAGGAAAGCCAGCTCAGGCTTCCATTCTCCCAGTCCTCCCCTTGATCCAAGCTGAGATGTTTAAAACTCTTCTTGGACATTTCTTACCATTCTGAAAGCACCAGAGCCCCTGACATTTGCACCAGAACCTGCTTCCTAATTCCTGACCCTCCACAGGCAAACAGCCTCCTGTATTTTTGAATTCTGAGGTATGGCTTAAGACAGAGGGCAAGAGAAGACCAGTATGGTGCCTCTGAGTCTGCTGGGGTCACTGCAGAAGTCTCACTGGTCACCCCACGAAGCCCCAAGGAGCCAGAACTGAATAAGACCTTGCTCTTTGGACTTCTGAGTCCTGATATCCAGGGGCTGTTGTGACATCACTGGTGGATCCACCTTATATTATACTTCTCCTCTGGCCACTAATGTCATGGGGGAGGGGATCAGAGCAATTGTGGGTATGGCGGGAAGCCAGCTCTCTCATGTGAAACAGACTCCAGGGTAAAGAAGGCACTTGAACAGACTGGGGTAAATGTCACCAGAGAAGCACAAGGTACACATAACAGCCCTTCATCCACTAGGAAGTGGGATATGCCACTGCCTTGCCCCTGCTCTGTGACCTTAGGGGAGTCAGCCCTTGCCTGGTTTTCTATCTCCTAGCTCACACTCTCCTGGTGGTGCTGGCAAGGCTGACACAAAGCTGTATTTAACATAGGTTCCTGCTACATAGAACTAAGATTAGTGGAACGGAACTGGGAAGAGTCCTGAAAGATTGCCCAATTCAAGCTTCTCTTTTTAGAAATAGCCAGGCTCTGCAGGGAACATACTAGTAAAAATGGATATGATGGATCTGATTCTGAGTTAGGCAGAGTGACTGCCATCACCTGGCCACACCGTCAGGCGATGACTGAGCCAGGACTTTGTTTCCCATTACTGTGCACCCATGTCTCTATTAATAATCCTGTGACAGGTGAACAAACACACAAAGGGAGCTGCCAAGGTGTGGAGTCTCTAGACTCCAAACCGTCCTCCCAGTCAGCCTGCTTCTGGGCCTTGTCCTCTGCTCCCTGCACTAAATGACATCCCTTTCTCTTGTCAGGGCTCTAGGTGGGCCTGACCACTCACTGCCACCGCGGCAGCCTCCGTAGTCTGCTTTCTCTTTCTTTCCTGCATCTGTCCACCATCCCCACCACTGCCGCTGGCCCACCTTCCTCTTTCCTTCCTTCTGTGTTCCACTGAGGTCTGCTCCCCAGTTCCCTGTGTGCCACCACCAGCTCTATAGGGGAGCTATGGGCGGGGTCCAGAGCAGGGCCTGCAGAGCAGGATCTGGGCCACAGCTGAGGCTGAGTCAGGTGCACTGATGCCACAAGCATCTGCCCTCGAGTCCTTGCTGACTCAGAAGCATGAAGCTGGATTCACCCCTTTGCTCACACCGTCCTCAGCAGCTCCCCATTTCAGCTTGTCACTGTCCACTGTGGCTAGAGTCCCCCTTGCTGGCAGCCCAACTGGCTTTGCACTCAGTGTAGTCTCCTGCCCCTCTCCAGAGCGGAGCGTTCAATCTGTGGGCATCAGCCTCAGCCCTCCTCAGGGGGCTGCCCTGTCTGAGCTGATGGAGGAAGATGCCCTCCTTCATCTTTATCCTCTTGCCAAATTCTGTTCATCCTTCAAAGCTTTCTCATCCTAGAAGTGAAGTCACATTTCCAACGCATAGCCTCATACAAGCCTCACTTAACACCGAGAAAGTTCTCTGAACTTTCAGCACCTGGTAATAATCCCAGGTGTAAGGACATTTACCAGGAAATTTTACACTGCCTTGGATTGTCCTCAGTCTCATCCAAGATTGTTCACATTTCCAGGTCTTTATTCCCATTATACAGAGGGGCTTGGTGAGAAGGCCTTGGACTTCCGGGGTCCTTTAGGCCCAGGTTAGAGTCCTGGCTTTGCCCCTAAGCACTGTATGAACTTAGAATAGTTTATAACTTCCCCGAACTTCTGATTCCTGATCTGGAGACAAGAATACCCATCCTTTAGGTTGTTCTGAGAGTTGCCGAGAATGTAAATTAATTGTAATGGCTAATATTCAATGAGCCCTTACTCCACATCAAATACTCTTCTAAGCATGATTAATAATGTTCATTTTAGCGATGAAGAAACTGGGGCCCAAAAGTGAAGCAACTTGCTAAGATCCTGCTGCTAGCAAGCGGCAGAATCAAGGTTCTGAGCCTAGAATCCAAGCCTGAATGCCAGTGTGTCTCAGTCTGGAGCAGAAGCTGAGATGGGAGCCACTTTATTTCATAGGGAGTCACGGATGACTCTTGAAGGGAAGAACAGCAGAATCCAGTATTTATTTACTAAAATAACTAGAAGCAGAAGGATGGATGATTTGGAGAGCAAAGATAATGGAGACAGAGAAAGTAGTTAGCGAGAGAAATGACTTTTCCCCATGACTGATCAGAAAGCAGGCGCTGACTTTCTCAGGAAAGTTTCAGCCAACACAGTTAACCCAGACTGGGAAGTGAGTGTCATAAAGGCAATTTATAAAGGTTTCTAAGAAAATGGTTGAAACAGAAACATCTAGTCATCTTAAGTGTAGATTTTCAATTACCCTCAAACTTAAATATTAGAAATGCAATGCCCACTGTGCCAGGTAACCCTGTGGGGAAAAGGATTTATTCACATGTTCTTCTGGAGTCTCCTGACAAGCCCCAATGACTTCATGATAGTCTAATCTGGCATTAGTCAACCCTAAGCATAATCTACTCAGAATTATTTTCTCTTTATGTTAAAGTTTGGCCCATTACTTGTACTGGGCTTGTAGAGTGAGACCCCTTGTTAGTACCTGTTACGTTTCCCCAAGAGACACTACTGCTGCCCTTGTTTAAAATGTGGCCACTCTGGTCCCCAGACCTCCCTGACCCCAGGCTCTCTCCACTGTGCCTCTGTGGAACCTACCTCTACTCTGGCGGGGGGCAGAAATGACAAGAAATTAATAAAATAAAGTTCTGTTGCAGTTCGGGGGCACTTAGGAGCCATCCACTGGGCCCTCTGTAGCAGTGGCTTCTCAGCAGGCCCCGGGCCCTCTGTGGTGCTGTCCCTGGAGCCACTCTGCCATGTGGGCCTGTGTCTGGTTGATTTCCACACAGCAGAGTGATTCCCATTTAATCTCTAAGGTCAGTTTATCTGATGAGCTAGACCAGGTGTCCTCAAATATGGCCAGCGGGCCACATGCAGCCCGCCTAGGACATTTATCTGGCCCTCCGGGTGATTTTGCCGCTGCTGCCTGTCCTGCTTAGCAGCCAACTCGTCCTGGGGCCCACAGTCAGGCCCTCCAACCGTCTGAGGGACAGTGAACTGGCCCCCTGTTTAAAAAGTTGGAGGACCCCTGATAGACGCTAAGTTTCTCACACTCTAAATGTGTTTCAGAGGAAAAGAGACCAAATATTTCCCTTGGCTGTCATGATTCAGACCTATTTTATTTTTCAAGCTCATAGACTACCTAAGGGCCATGACTCACCATATCCATTTTTACTAGTATGTTCCCTGCAGAACCTGGGACAGCTTAAGCTGTCCCCATAGAACTCAACCCCAGGGAGGCAGCACAGGCTCGGGGTTCAGAGCATGAGCTTGCAAGTCAACCTGCAGGGTTCAAGTCCTGGCTCTGCCTTTCACTCTCCGGCCTTGGCTTATCTGCTCTAGGCCTCAATTTCCTCACAAGGTGTTTGAGAGAGCTACATGAGGGCAAAGCACCGATAATATTGCCTGGCACAAAGTAAAGCACTCCATGAATATTTTTTAACAACAACAAAAGTATGTCAGAGCTGGAGAATAACAGAAGTTAACCCCTCATTTTGTAGATTTGGAAACCAAGTTGCAGAGATATTAGGGGTCTTGCCCACACTCTCCAGCTGGTTAGAAACAGCCTGGGTGAGAATTTACGTCTACTCAACTCCCCATTCAGTGATTTTCCTCCTGCATCACACTCGTATCAATTAAAAGAAATCCTTAGAAGGAAAAGATAAGTACTTAAGGTGGTGGATATCCCAATTATCCTGATTTGATTATATGAATGTATCACTTTATCACATGTACCATGAAAAATATGTACAGCTATTATGTTATTGATAAAAATAAATAAACAAACCAAAGAATTCCTTAGAAGCCACACAGTATGGATTGCAGGTTCCTACTGGGCACACAAATGCTTCTTAACAAAGACAAACATGGGTCAGATGCACCATTGCTCTGCCCTGGGAGACTTTGCTTTATGCTCTGAGAATTGATTTTTTAAAAAAAGGTGAAAGTACGGCAGTGCCTGTGGCTCAAAGGAGTAGGGGGGTCGGCCCCATATGCTAGCGGTGGTGGGTTTAAACCCAGCTCCGGTCAAAAAAAACAACTGCAAAAAAAAAAGAGGGGGGGAAGTAAATGAACATACTCGAAGGGAAGGCAGGTGTGAGCTGTTTGTGGACTGCAGCTGGCCAGCTGAGACTCATGCTTGGACATTCTGTTCCCACACATGCCGTTTCAGAGAGCCCTGCGGATGAAGTGGAGCAGTGGTCAGATGATTTTGTAAGTATTTGTTCCTGAAACCAAGAGGGCACCAGGGCCTGATAGGAGGCCTTTTTAAGGACTTATGTCTGAAGCATGCTGGTGGTCAGATGCTCATCGCAGAGGGGAGAAGGAGAGGGTATGTCTGGGAAGGCCGCCCACGGACAGGGCAGCAGTAACCTCATACTGGCCGACCTGCCCAGCACTCACCATGTGCCAGGCTGAGAGCGTCACGTGCCTGACCCCAGTTAACCTTGACCCCAGCCCTGTGAGGTAGGCATTCTCCTCCCCATTTTCAGTGTTGGTATTCAGCATACTCACCAGCACAGCCAAAGTGGATGTTAAAATGTTTTAGTGGTTCTGTATCAGTTGGCAAATGCCTCTGCCCTCAAGTGCCCAGAACTTCCTTACCCCTGGCCTGAGGCCCTAAACAAATTGATGACTAAAGAGTCCCTGCCTGACACATCAGGGGCCTCCGGGACCAAAACATAGAAAGTTTGCAATTCCACAATTCAAACCCAGGCCCACAGATCTCAGAACCATACCCTTTAATGCCAAGGGGCTCGCTGTAACCAAGAGAACATCAGCAAAGCGCTGGGGCCCTGGGGCCCCGCTGGCATGATGATGTTGGAGTGGAGTATCAGAATTAACCTTTTCAGAATGCCTCTGCAATCTGAAGGGCCCCTGTACCTACTTCCCTTTTGGGTTGTCTTGCACAGACAAAAAAATCCTAAAAACTTTTCTTAACAATAATTATTCCTCACTTATATCAAATCCATCCAGAATATTAAGGCCTGTTCCAGTCTGTGAGTTTCATATCTAAAAGGAATCCAAGAAAGCTTCCACACAACCATACGCCCATTTCACAGACAAGGAAACTGAGGCCAAGAGAATGAAAATGACTTGCCCACCCTCACTCAGTGTCTCAGGGGCCTGTGGAAATGAAAACCTACAACTCAGATCTGCAGTCTAGGGTCCCACTCCAGGCTCCATACACTTCCTAGAGTTTAAATCCAGTAAGAGACAGAAAATCCTCCTTCTCGGACTGCAGAAAAAGAAAAGAAAAATGGGGGGAGGAGGAGACTTCTCTGCCAATCACTCAGCATGGAGTTCCTCCCAGGCTGATGCCCCAGAAGCACTGCAGCTGTGCCCCCTGCTGGCTGTACACATAAACACACACACACACACACACACACACACACACACACACACAGCCTGCTCTGAAGCTAAGGAAGGAAGCTGGTTGGTCCACATCTGGAGCAAAGAGGAAAACTGAGCTCGCTGACAGGATTAAAAGAGTACACAGTGGGGACTTAGGAAACACACAATAAAATGAGCCTGGAGAGGAGGGAATAACTTGCCCCCAAACCAGACAACCCAAATTAAGACACCAGCCATAATAAAGACTGTGTAAACAATCACTTCAGTGGATCCCACTGCACATAGAAAGAAATCCAGGCTTGTAGCTAAAGCCTCCAGGCCTACTTGATAAAATCTTGCTATAAAATTGCACGTGAAATGAGACAAGCCAAAAAAGCAGGTGCCTGTCCATTCATTGGAAAGTCTCCCGTGGATCATTCAGGGTGGCAGGCAATTTGTAGGGGCAGTGGATGTGCAAATGTCCTGAGTCAAATATTACCTTCCCATTATGTGTACAGCATGTATGAGGAAATATCTCTGCATCCCCTTAACACTCTCCAAAGTGAACCTACTTTCTCCTCAACTCTTAGCATTCATGATAAATAAAACCTACCGGTTATTATATTGAGTCCTTTTTCTATCTTAAAAATGTGTTTTATTACCTCTTGTTGTTATTCTTTGTCGATACAGTGTCAGCCCTACTTAGGGTTAGGTAGTCCTCATGTCCCCCCAGGACAGCGCAGTGGTTAAGGGCATAAACTTTGCAGGCAGACTTCAAACCCTGGCTTTGCCTCTCACTGGCTGCCTCACCTTGTGACATCAACCCCTCTAAGCCTTAGCTTTCCCATCACTGCCCTGGGGGAACAGCTCTGATACTGTAAGTCAGGAATTGTCCTGGCGGTCTGGCAGCACAGACAAAGGTGCTGAGCATGGTGTCTGCTTTTGCAGGACAGTGACTATGAAAACCCAGACGAGCACTCGGACTCAGAGATGTATGTGATGCCCGCCGAGGAGAACACTGATGACAGCTATGAGCCACCTCCCGCCGAGCAGGAGACCAGGACGGTTCATCCCGCCTTGCCCTTCACCAGGGGCGAGTATGTAGGTGAGCCCACCCCCAGCCCTGTGTGTTCCACCTCCCAGGCCCAGGGAGAAGCAGGGTGGCAAATCTGGCTGCTGCCCACCTGCCGTGCTCACCACCTCCAAGCAGGTAATCTGGGCACTTACAGTTAATAAAGCTCAAGCTATAAACCTTTCCCTTTTCAGGGGAAAGAGTCCTTTCTAGATTCGGAACACTGAACACAGGCAAAAATCAATCAATCAATTAATCAAACAAGCACACCATGACCTTTGAGGATTACAGTGTCCACTCCTCCTCCCTTCTACTCCAGCAAACAACTTAAGTCTGGACTATGGGTTTGTATTACTGAGGGTGGGGGCAGGTAAGGTGGTCTAAGCCTGGAATTAGCGTCGTAGGTTAAATGGATGTAGCTTGGGTCTGAGTTTGAGGGCTGAATGTGCATTTTAATGTCAGACAAGAAGTCTGTGTTCCAGTCTCGGCAGGTGTCTGAGTTCTCTAAAGGCTCAGAGAGCAAGTATGCCCAGGATGTCAGAGCGATGCATTTGTACAGAGTCCTCCTACATGGAAAGAAAGGCCTCACTGCCATTAACTGCCTCCTCCAGGGCACCGGGTGCTGCTCCTTCTTCAGTCCACAGTTAATCTGTTGAGCACCTACTATGTGCCAGAACTATGCCAAGCACTGAGCATTCAGCTGCAAGCAAGGTGGACAGACTCCAAGGCTTCTTACAACTTCCCATTTAGTGCTTTCCCCAGTGGCCTATTTAACCCTCTTAATAATCCCCTGAAGACAGGACTCATCCCAACTCAACAGAGGAAGGAAGAGAGGCTCAAAGGAGTGAAGTAACCCAGCCCAGGAGCTCCAGGGCAGAGCTGGGCGGTGCCTCTCAGCCTCTGAAGCCTGGCTCTTCCCCACTCTGCACCCTCTGCTGCCCGCTGTGTTTGCTGAATGACCTTGTTCAGTCATTGCAACACTCTGGGGAGGAAGAGGCTGTGGTCGGCCCATTCTACAAAGCAGGAAGCTAGAACTCAGGGTGGTTAAGCAGCTCACTCGGGGCACACTCTGTAAAGCCTCTCTTCTATGTTGTGCTACTTCTGATGGACTTAAACAGAAAATCCAAGTGAATGCCAAGAGCTGAAAATAAAACGGACAGAGTTACAGGCACAGCGCAGTGGATGCCCTAGTGCTACACCACCAGAAAGGGCTCTGACACAGAGGCAGCGAATGTGGAGTTAACCACACACCTTCAACAAGGAAGATGTGAGGGCCAAGGGCAGCAGCAGGCACTAGAGAGAGTGGAGCTGGGCGCAGCAGGAGGGGTGGCTGCACCAGGCAGGGCTGTCCCAGGAGGAAGCAAAGGAAGCCAATGCCACGATGCAGAGGCCAGTGCGAGGAGGGGCCGCATGAGGTTATGCATGTGCTAAGAGTTTCCTGAAACGCGTCACTCTGAATCTCTGCTTGGCTCACAGACTTGGCGGGGCGGACCTGACATTGCCTCAGCCCTCCATCCCCTGGTGCAGGTGGTATGAGTTCTATTCCGTAGGCAGAGGATCTGCCACTACTGCCTTCACCATGGTCTTCCTAATCCCCACAGTCACTGTCTATGGTAGATATTAGGATCGTCATTTTAAAAATGTGAGTCTTAGAGAGGTTGAATAACTAGCCCAAACAAGCACAGCTAGTGAGCGGCAGAACAGGGGACAGAACTTGCATCCATTTGGCCTCAGGGCCTGATCTCTTTCCCTGACACCTGCTGAGAAGGACAGCCCTGGACCAGAGGGGAATCTTATAGATTCTCCATGAATTAAGGGAAATCAAGGGAAAGAAAATGCAGGTTGACTCAGGTGAGAAATCGCCATCCTGGATATACCTTAGAATAACCTGGAGACTTTTTCAACCTATAACACCAGTCCCTTTCCTGGAAATTCACACATAGTAAGTCTAAAGTGGGACCTAGACCTTGGGGATTTTTAAAGTTCCCAAGGTGGTTCTAATGCATAACCAGGACTAAGAACTCTTGCCTTTAGGGATCATAGAGTGAATCAAACCATCCAGGGGCACCGTCTTGGGCCCCCAGGCTACTTAATCCACTCTTTGGCAAAGGGCTGGGCTGTCAGCTCTCCTGAGCCTGTGGGTTTCACTACTCTGCTGGGAGAATGCTTTCGATGAGAATGTTCTTCTGGGCAGTTGACAAGGAGTTGAATTTTTTTTTTTTTTTGCAGTTTTTGGCCAGGGCTGGGTTTGAACCCACCACCTCTGGTCTATGGGGTCAGCGCCCTACTCCTTTGAGCCACAGGCACTGCCCTGGACTTGAAATGTTTTGCCTAATATTTAGCTTTACTCTCTTAAGAAATGCTCTGATTCACCATTTGTGTCTACAAAGATGCCCACGGTTTTATACTATTTAGATCTTGATAGTTTCCACCCAGGAAATAAAGCAGAACCTGTTCTGTGTTTTGTGTGTTTGTTTCCAGACAATCGATCAAGCCAGAGACAGTCTCCACCTTTCAGCAAGACCCTTCCCAGCAAGCCTACCTGGCCCTCAGCCAAAGCGAGGCTCATCTCCACCCTGCCAGCGCCGACTTCTCTGCAGAAACCTCAAGTCCCACCCAAACCCAGAGGCCTCCCTGAGGATGAGGTAAAGTAAATCTATCCTGAAGCCTTCCCAGACACAGAGAGGGCCCAGGGGAAGTGGCCAGGACAGTCTGGCTGAGGGCTGGTCTTCCTTCTGCTCCTCAGCTCTCCCTTCTAACTCTCCGCTGCTATCCTGAAAGGACTATGTTTTCCCTAAAAATGGCACATGTGACCTCATATTAAGCATCAGAATTCATGAGATGTATATGGTTTACTGTCAATACCGAATCTGAGCCCTCACGTTAGCCCCCTTCTCTTCCTCTGGCCTTGCAGGAATCTTCTCTTTTCCTCCATAACATCCTTTTTTTCCTTGTTTGTTCTCCTGTGTGTTCCTGCACCTTATTTTCTCTGCGCTCCTCCTCTCTCCTCTTCTCAGGTGCAGAGGGGGACGTGCGATGTGAGGGGAAGATGACCATTCTGTAGGGAGACCTGCCCAATCCGGGGGCAGCTCTTGCTTCTCATTCCCTTCCCCTGTCCCCCAAGAGCCCAGAGACCAATCTACCCCGAGTGCCTGAGACCCACCTCCAGGTTTATCTAATCAGTTTCCTGTCTGGAAAATGAAAAGGTGAACTCAAACTGTTGCAGTCATGACTGCTAATGCCAGAGATACTTGCATTTTAAGGAGAAAGACCAGCCCGCAAGCATGGCCATAAGGACACTCCGAGCGTAGGAGTCTGAGAAACAAGATAGCATTAGTGACAACTCCCAAGCACCCCGAGACACGATCTTATTACAGTTTGTAATGGCTTCTTTCTAAATGCCTGCAGATGGTGACACCTTTCTAGGTGTTGTGCAGTGACCTTCATTCCACCTTAATGGGATTTGTAGCCAAGCATGAGATGGAAAAGAAGGACTTTCAAATCAAAAGAGAGGCACAAAGGCAGCATCCAGGCCCAATTTCCTACTTTGGCCCTTCTAGCTGTATGTCTTTGGGCAAGCCACACAACCTCTCTGTTTTTTATCTCTTCCACTTAATTTGAGAAGTCAGTAAGAGAACAAATATATGGCACTAGGGAGAAGTGCCTGATGCACAGAGGGGCTTAATATATATTGGATTCCTTTCTACCATATTCTAAATTCTTTATAAAATCCAGTTTTCTACTTTCTTCTGAAAATTGAAGACCTGGCAACAGTGGCCAGCTGTGGCCTCAAAGCAACTGAGCCCCATGGCCCCTGTAGCTCGGCTGTGAATCCTTGGTCCCATTTGCCATAGTGTCCTCCACTCATACCACGCAGGTGCACACCCTCACCCTACATGGCAATAATCTGGCCTGTTCCCCATCCTGGGACTGGCCTTAGTATCGCAGAGTTTGCTGATAGCAACCCTGTGGAAGTGGCTCAGGCAGTCTACACCAGTGGCAGACTGAATTCTGGAATGGGCAGATGGAGAGTCAGGAAAAGAAGGAGGTTTAGAAACAACAACAAAAACAGAAACAGAAACAGAGGCCAACAGCTGAACCATCAGAGAGGAAAGAAGTCAAGTGCAAGCATGAATTAAAATGTTTAGCTCTGCTCTATCAGCTATAGCCCAAATCTCAACGTACAGGCCAAGCAGAGTCGGAGGTGGGACAAAGACATGCAGGGGGAAGGGATGTCTGTGCTATAATGAGTGTGGCTGACACTTGGTGGGTGCTGTCTATCAGCTGGTGTTTGAGCATAATGTGTACAAATGCATTCTCTCATTAAATCCTCACAACAAGCCTAAGAAGGCTATTATCATACCATTTACATGAGGAACCCATGGCACAAAAAGGGTTGAAAAATTCCTTCAAGGTCAGAGAGGTAAATGTTAGAGCTGTCATTTGAACCCTGACAATGAGATGTTAGAACCCAGGTGCTAAACAGCTGCTCTGACCCTCCTCTTTAGTGTCCAGTGAGAAGGCCACCTCCTCATTCAGCATAAATGGGTTCCAGGGCTTCGATGGTGCCCAGAGAAGACCCTGTGCCTGTCCTTTTAGAGCTGCAGTCTTGTGGCCACATGTGGCCCTTGACCAGATTACTTAACTTCTCTCAAATCCCTCATCTGTAAAAGCAGAACAAATACACCTTGGAGGGTAGGTATGATTGTAAGAATTCAGTAAAGTAATACGTGTAAAGCTTTGCAGAGCTCACATGCATTATAATGAGGAAGAAACTCGTGGACACTCAATAGCTAATCAAAATGACTCTTGATGATAGGGCATGGATCAATGGGAAAGTGAAAATAAGATCAACTCATGGTACTCTTGATTTTCAGATCTCTGGTCTGGAGAAAGCAAACATATAATCACCCATCACCTGTGACAGGTGTCTTAGTGCTGAAACATCTAGACTTTAGAGTTGATCTAAAATGACCTTTAAAATAATCATGTATTTTTATTTTTGAATCACCCCATTGTAATAATTGAAGAAGGATTTCTAATATGTGTAGGTCATGGTAGTGGCATAACCTACCTGCATTCAAAAGATCAATCATTGATGTCACTACAGTCAAATTTTTGCGATTGTTTTGTAGGATACTGGGGGTTTATATAAAACATTGTAACAATGCCAGGGTGTTCTTATTAGGATATAAATTGCCATGTTCTTGATTATTTACTTATTTTGGTGATAACAACATTGAATTGCAATGCTGGGAATATACATTATAAGTTTGTCTCCTCAAACCCTATAATGGAAGAGGAGAGCACACACCATAAGCAGAATTTATTTGGATTGGATCAAGTCTTCTTTTCTTTTTAAAAATGTATTTCCTATTTTTTTTAATTTCAAAATATGAAGGGGGTACACATGTTTAGTTATATGAAAACAATGTATAGTGCTGCAGTCTGAGCTTTTAGTGTGCCCATCACTAGAATAGTGCTTTTTGTACCCAATAGGTAAATTTTTACCCTCAGCCCATCCCACTCTCCCCATTCTTGGTTTCCAATGTCCTTTACATCTTTGTGCCTCTGTGTACCCATCACTGAGCTCCCAATTTTTAGAGAGTGGTGTTTGTTTCCCCATTCCTAAGATACTTCACTTAGGATAATGGTCTTCACTTCCATTCAATGTGCTACAAAAGACATTACTTCATTCCTTTTTGTAACTGAGTAGTACTCCATGGTGTGTGTGTGTGTGTGTATGTATGTGTGTGTGTACATGCCACATTTTCTTTGTCCACTCATGAACTGATGGACACTTAGGTTGATTCAAACATCTTTGCAATTGTGAACTGTGGTGTGATAAACATTTGAGTGCAGGTGTCTTCTTTTCCTTTGGGTAGATACCTAGTAGTAGGATTGCTGGATCAAATGGTAGGTCTACATTTATTTTTATAAGAAATCGCCATACATGGTATTATTTTTTATAGAGATGGTACTGATTTACAGTCCTACCAACACTGTGTACAGTTCCTTTCTCTCTGCTTCCATACCAGCATCTATTCGTAATGGTCGTTCTGACAGAGTAAGGCAGTATCTCATTGTGGTTTTAATTTGCATTTCCCTGATGATATTGAGCATTTCTTCATATTTCTTGGCAATTGCCTATCTTCTTTTTTTTTTTTTTTATTGAACGGTAACTATGTACATTAATGCACTTCTGGGGTACAGTGTGGGTCTATCTTCTTTTGAAAACCTTCTGTTCATGTCTTTTGGCCACTTTTTGATGGGGTTGTTTGTTTGTTTCTTGTCTCCTCATTTGAGTTTTTTGTAGATTGTGGATATTAGTTGTCAGTGTGTAGTTTGTGAATATTTTCTCCAGTTCTGTAGGCTGTCTATTCTGCTGATCATTTCCTTGGCTGTGCAGAAGCTTTCTAATTTAATTAAGTGCAATTTATTTATTTTTGTTATTGCTGCATTTTGCTTTGGGGTCATAGTCACAAATTCTTTGCCTAGATTGATGTCTAGAAGAGATTTTCCTACTTTTTATTCTAAAATTTTTATGGTTTCATGCCTTACATTTAAATCTTTTATCCATATTGAATTAATTTTTATATACGATGAGAAATAGGACCCTGTTTCATTCTTCTGCATGTGGCTATCCCATTTTCCAAGCAGTATTTATTAAATAGGCCTTCCTTTTCCCAATTTATGTTGCTTGTCTCCTTTATCAAAGATCAATTGGTTGCAAATATATGGATTTATTTCTGGGTTCTATGTTCTGTTTCATTGGTCTATGTCTCTACTTTTGTACCAGTACCACACTGTTTTAGTTACTGTAGTCTTGTAGTATAATCTGAAGTTAGGTTAATGTGGTGCCTCCACATTTGTTCTTTTTGCTTGTGATTACTTTGGCTATTTGGGTTCCTTTGTGGTTCCAAAATGTAGAAATATTTTTTCTAGATCTGTGAAATATGACATAGGTATTTTGATGAATTATGGGATTATGTTGAATCTGTAAATCACATTAGGAAGTATGGACATTTTAACAACTGTGGTTCTTCCAATCCATGAGCATGGGATGTTTTTCCATTTGTTTGCAACATCTGCTGTTTCTTTCATTGAGGTTTTGTAATTCTCCTTGTAGAAATATTTTACCTCCTTAGTTAAGCATATTTGTAGATATTTTATTTCCTTTGTAGCTATTGTAAATGGTAATTGAGTTCTTGATTTGGCTCTCAGCTTGACTATTACTAGTGTATAGAAATGCTACTGATTTGTATACATTGATTTTGTGTGTCTCAGATTTTGCTGAATTTATTTAGCAATTCTAGGAGTCTTTTGGTGGAGTCTTTAGGATTTTCTACAAATAAGAAATAAGATGCAGGCACATAGGCTGCTCTACTCAGGATGCAGTGCAGGGCATAGCAGGTGCTTAAGGCATAATATCCCTGGGGGGCATGTGGCTGAATGGCCCCCAGCATGGAGGAGGGTGGTGGGTCACAGCTCATGCATGGGGTGGAGTGGAACCCCCAGACAAAGTGGACCCATGAGACAGGGTGACTACTCAGGATGAAGCATGTCCACAGGGCACCACACTCATATGTGCTGGCCAGGGTGGCCATGGGGTGGAGTGCACAGGTTGGGCAGTGTGCATACAAGGTGCAGCACTCAGGGCATCTGATCAGAGCAGTGTGGGTCTGTGGTGTGCAGACTGCCCAGATATAAAGACTGCAGCTTCACTGGCTTTCACCTCACTTGGGGCCTTGCAGGCAGCAGCAGTTCAGCTGCCTCAGCAGTGGGCAGTGGACACAGAGGGCTATGGGTACATGATCTGCTAAGGTCCTGTGGGAAGTGCATTTGAGCAGAATCACCCAGGCCACAGAAGCAGGTATCAGACTCTTGGTCTCCTGCTCTGCTCAGAGCCCTCAGCAGTGATCGTGGCAGAGGAGTGCATATGGGCACGTGTCAACACCAGGATTCCCCACTTCCTCCTCACCTGGCAGGATCCAGGGGAAGGCTGCAGTCACACATCTCACCCCTAGGCAAAAGTAACATTCCGGGTTTGTTGTAACCGAAATTACACCATGTTATAATGGTGCCATCCACAGTGCCCAGATCCCACAAGCCAGCTGTCTCTTCTCTCTAGGGCATCATAGCAGCACAGCCCCTGGTCAGTGTTTCTGTAGTGGGCTCTTTCTGCTGCTCTGGGTACAGTATCCTCAGGGGAAGCATGGAGCTGGATTTTCTCCTCTGTCTCTTTCCCTCATGTGGGCATCTACCCTACCAGTCCTGCTGAGTGGCCCATCCCCATTCTGTCTTCTTTAAATCACTCCTGCCCCCACTCTGTGGATTTCCAGTGCTCCTGCTCAGAGTATCAATCCAAAGGTGGGCATGTTTTCAGTCCTCTCCGTGAGGATTGATCTGGCTGGATTGTGTAGGCTGCTTCTAGTCCGCCATCTTGCTTTTCCTGTCCTCCAAGTCTTCTTTTCTGTCATTGCTCTTTTGGAATAAAAATATTTTAATTCCAGAAATATCATTACTTTGAACAGGTCAGATTCTAGGCACTGCAGATAAAATATCTTCTATTGTCAAGTACTACAGAACAAAACAAGTGCAAAATTGAGAATTTAGAAGAAAGAACAGATTCTGAAATGGTGAAGTGGAGCTAGAGATGCCTTGGCTGGGGCAAGGTGCTTCCAAATTTCCTATATCAATTTGGGTATTTGCTAAGTGCCAACATCAATGGTCTGTGTTCAGATATAAGCTACTTGAGGAGTTTGTGGACTATCAGGCTTTGAGAGAGTGGGCACTTCTCCTGAGGGCTCAGCACATCTTCATAGGAAGTAGCCCCTAGAAAAGAAGGTGCCTCTGATACATCACTCAGGACTTGTAGTTAATCCAGAGAGGTGGCTTGTAGAACAAAAGGGTCTTATAGTCAGATTATTCTCAGCCTTGGCTATTGGGTTAGTCAGTTCCACTTCAATTTCATGAAGCTTGACTGGCCAATTACTGAGATTACAAATACAGATAAGGAGGAGGCCCTGACTTCAGATGTTCACAGTCTGACACCATGGAGCCAGCAGTGTGACAGAGGTTAGGACCAGGCTCCCTGTGCCACCAGGGAGCAGGTGTTCTTCTCCGATGGGCAGAGATCAGGAAGGCTTCTGATGATTCAGCAATTTACTCACCCAACCAGGTAATACAACTAGTAAAGAACCAGGCAAGACTTTCTTCCTGACTCCGTCTGATTCCAAAGCCTCACCTCTTTCACCTCTAAATATGACTGCAGAATTGAGATGTTGTGTGAGTAGAATCACTTGCTGCCCCTTGCCAGGTTTGGAGGAGAGGAGAGGAGAGTAGAGGTGGTTAAATGAAGAAAGGGCAGATAAAACAGGAAAAGGAGAAAGGATGGAAGTTACTAGAATGTAGTAGGTAAGAGTATCGGTGCTGAATTCTTGAACAGGCTATGTTCAAATCCTGGATCTACAATGTTTTAACTGTGAGGCCTTGAGCTAGCTAGTTAAATTTCTCTGTGCCTCAGTTTCTACATCTTGAAATCTGATGGTAGCACCTACTTCACGGGGCTGTTAGAACGATTAGTGAGGTAACATATGTACAGTACTTAAAAGGGCTTGGGGAAATAAATGGTTTTTGTTTCTCCCAATACCCTGCTTGGTTACCCTCCAGGGAAGGTTGTAAAAACCACTTTTGAGATCTGATTACCTCGTTTGTGTCTTATTAATACAAAATCACTCTCTCCCTACATTTATTGTCAATGGATTATTGACAGAGACACACAGACAATTTAATAGAGAAAGAATAGTTTTTAAAAAACAAATGGTGCTAGGAGAACTGCATATCCACATACAAAAAAAATAAAATTGGACCCCTGTCTCATACACAAAAGCTCAGTAAAAATGGAATATAAAACTACCAAAAGATAAACACATGTGTTTGCAGAAGGAATAAGAACTAAAACTATAAGACTATTAGAAGAAAATATAGTATGAATCTTTATTGCCTTGGGTTAGGCATTAGTTTCTTAGATATGCCACCAAAACACAGGTTATGAAAGAAAAAATAGACAAAGGAGACTTAAAAATTTAAAACGTTAGGTGAGTATTCTTCCGTTCTTTCTTTGGGCTGTTATGCTGTTTTCCTGCTCTTCCCTCTCTCTCTTTCTCGCTTTCCCCATCTTCCTCTTCCTCACTCTCTCTCTCCTTTAAAGTATAAAATAAACTTGTACTTTTATATTCTTAAAAAAATTTAAAGCATTAATGCTGTTGATGATACCATGAAGAAAATAAAAAGACCACCCATAGAATGGGAGAAAGTTTTCACAAATGTTACATCTGATACGGAACTTATATCTAGAACATATGAAGAACTCTTATAACAATAAAAAGATAGGCTTGGCACCTGTGGCTCAAGTGGCTAAGGTGCCAGCCACATACACCTAAGGTGGCAGGTTCAAATCCAACCCGGGCCCGCCAAACAACAATGACGGCTGCAACCAAAAAAATAGTCAAACATTGTGGCAGGCACCTGTGGTCCCAGCTACTTGGGAGGTTGAGGCAGAAGACTCGCTTGAGCCCAGGAGTTGGAGGTTGCTGTGAGCTGTGATGACACAGCATTCTACCCAGGGGGACAACTTGAGGCTCTGTCTCAAAAAATAAAATAAAATAAAAAGATAAACAATTAAAAACGGGCAGTGATTTGAAGGGACATTTCTCCAAATAACATATAATTGTCCAATAAGCACTTGAAAAGATGCCCAACACCATTAGTCATCAAGGAAGAAGTAAACCAAATCTATGATGAGGTACTACATCACATCCAGGAAGACGGCTAGAAGAAAAATGGCAGACAGCAACAAATATTGGGAAATACGTGTAGAAATTGGAACCCTCATACATTGCTCATGGGAATGAAAAATGATGCAGCCACTTTGGAAAATAGTTGGGCAGTTCTTCAACCTGTTAAATAGAGAGCTGCCATATGACTCCCCAATTTCACCTCTTGGTATATTCCTAAGAGAAATATGTGTCTACATAAAAACTTGCACATGGTCACAGCAGCCTTATTTGTAACAGCCCAAAAAGTGGAAAAAGGCCAGTGTCCATCAATTTATGAATGGATAATCAAAATGTGGTATAGTCATACAATGGGATGGTTTTTGGCAATAAAAAAGAATGGAGTCATGATACGTACTACAACATGGAAGAACTTTGAAAAACATAATGTTGAGTGAAGGAAATCACAAAAGACTGTAGATTGTATGATCCTATTTACATGTAATATCCAGAATGGGAAAATGTGTAGAGACGGATTCACGGTTTACTAAGTCAGGGGAGAGGATGGATGGGGATGACTAATGAATACAAAATTGCTTTTTAGTGTGATGACAATATTCTAAAATTAGATTGTGGCAATGGTCGCCCAACTCCGTGAATATATTTAAAAACACCAAATTGTACACTTTACATAGTAGAATTTAATAGTATGTGAATTGTAACTCAGAAAAGCCTTTAATGCCACTCCCTCCACGCAGTCAACTATGAATGTACAGCCTTCTCCTCATTCATTTCTACATTTCTCTTAGGCGGATTATGTAGTTCCTGTGGAAGATGATGATGAAAACTATATTCATCCCACAGAAAGCAGTTCACCCCCACCTGAAAAAGGTAAGAATTTGTAGGCTTTCTTCTTTTGTTTCGTTTTGAGATAGGGTCTCGCTCTGTCACCCAAGCTAGAGTACAGTGGCATCATCATAGCTCACTGCAACCTCAAGCTCCTGGGCTCAAGTGGTCCTCCCGCCCCAGCCTTCTCAAAGTGCTAGGATTACAGGCATGAGCCACCAGGCCTGGCCAAGAGTTTGTAGTATGAAGCACTTGAAAACTTCTAGCAGTTGATTGGGACATACAGGACTATTCAGTAGTAAGCACGAAGGGACTAAAAAATGACCGTGCACAGGCTCTGTCCTCCACGGCTACAGCGTGTGGTTCCTTGGCTGGCAGGGCAGAGCATCAGCAAGTGGCCTGTCTGTGTTTCATAGCTCCCCCCAGTCTCAAATTATGAAAGCATCTGGGATTTTATCTTCAGCTACCCTCGTTTAGAATGGATCTCTCATAAAACCTAATACAAAGCTGTAAGCCACAATGTTGACCTTATACATATCGTACTAGGAACAATTTCTGTAAAGGAGTGAAAAATGGAAGAGTGAAATACACTCTGAATCCTGATTTGTTATATTTAGTAGTATCTCAGGCCTATGAGAAACATTTTTTTGTAAACTTTTCATGGGATAACAAATGATATCACAAACAAATTATCTTTTTAAAAAAATCAGTGTTATATGACCTCAGATCAGGCACAGAAACAGTGCCCAGTCCCTCTGGAGACTAAAATCTCTTCAGGTGACATTACTCATAATACCAAACTCCAAAGTAACAGGACTCAGTTTTTGCTGTCTGGTTGTAGCAACCATCCCCTCTGTTCCTTAAATGTCACCAACGCTTCAAGATTCCCCTAAATTCCCAGGCCACCCACTACCGTGAAACAACAAATGTACATTCCCTTCTTGCCCCTTGCCCCAAGCCCATGACATCTAAGAGAAACTGTGTATTTCATGTGCTGGGAGAGGTGGCCCTGTAAATTTGACCCTTCCACTATTAGTTTCAATATACTCCTGATACAAAACCAAAACAAATAAAAACACTCTTTTATCTCCTAGACCTATAGGTTAGTGCATGAAATTACAGGACAGTATTCACTTTAACAAAATCCCTACCAAAACATTTTTGAGGGTTTTTTTAAATCATTATTTTCATTCTAGGGCAGTGTCTGTACTCAGTGAGTAGGGAGCCAGCCCCATATACCAAGGGTGGCAGGTTTGAACCCAGCCCCAGCCAAACTACAACAAAAAGTAGCTGGGCATTGTGGCAGGTGCCTGTAGTCCCAGCTACACTGAGAATGACAAAGTGAGACTTTAAAAAAAAAAAGAAGGAAAGAAAAAGGAAAAAAGTGTTTCTCCTGAGAAGGCTTTTTCTCAGGAAAAAGACCTGATTTATAAGGGTGTCTCCCATTCTTTGCAGATTCTCCAATCTGATCATCATTTTTCCCTCATGTGTGGATTTCCCTCATGGAGTATATTTGTTATATATATTTGTGTATTTCAGCTCCTGCTGTGAATAGATCTATCAAGCCACACACCTCCTCAAAGCCGACCTCTCCTCCCGGAACAGTTTCAGGTAAAGTATATGTGAGATATGGATTGGTTTTAAATCTATTCCAAATAGATAAATAACTCAGATAAAATATGAAGAAATCATCATTGTATTTCCAAATTTCCTAACAAATGAGAACAGAAGGCCGGTATCCTCATCCTTGTCTGTTGGCACATGTGTTGAAGGGACTATCCCCCCAGGCCCTTTGGCCTCTGTTTTCATCCTACCTCTGGGAATCTTGCTGGCTTCTCTGTGTCCTCTCCCCTGACTGAGGATGTCCTCAGGGCTCAGCTTTCATCCCTCAGCTCTTCTGAAATAATTTGGGAGGGACACACCTGAATGGTTAATGAGTTTCTTAGTGTGCAAGGGTATCGCGGGGGTTGCGAGCTTGGGTTTTGAGCAGACAGATGTGAACCGGAATCCCAGCATTCGCAGTTACCAGCCAGACCACCTTGGTACTTCACCTTTCCAAGTGGGAAACTTCCCAAGATTTTCTTATCTGTAAATAGGGATACTAGGCCTTGCCCTGTGGCAGGAGAATTCTGAAATTGCAAATGGGAAACTCTTAAGGCAACGCCTGATACATGCTAAATGTTCAGGAGAGAGAATTATTTTTCATGTCATCCATTATTCTGACTTCACTACTCATGTCTATACTGGAGACCCCCGATGTCCACCTTGAGCTGACTTCCTTTCTGAACACCCCAGAATTCCTACTGCCTCCGACTCACGCCAGCTGCCACTGGACTCTGTGCCCATCCTCCCCACCCCATCCCGCCCTCACTCCTCTGTGCATGCCAGCCTCCAGGCCACGTGCCTCAGAAGCCTGTTCTCTCCAAGGCCTGCCAGGTTTGTTGTTGTTGTTTCCAAATTTGCTTTTCCATTTCAGCTGCCACCATCCTAGTCCCTGCTTTCTTCACTCAGTCCCCTCACACTTTCTCCTGTGCAGCAGTCCACCAGCTCTCCTCGGCCCCAAAGATCAAGCAGCCGAACTCCTCCAGATGCTCCAGTTTCATTTCACTCTAAGCACACGCACACTCTCACTCTCTCTCTGCCCTTCTCCCTCTTTCTCTGCCCCCCTTCCCTCTCCCCCTCTTCTCTTTCTCTGTCTCTCTCCTCTCTCTCAGAGTTAAGCATAGATGAACCAGGTCAGAGGGGGTGCTGAGATTATGGGTGGGTCATTGGTGGAGAGGGTGAGGGAAATACTGGTTGTATTTAAAGAATCAGTAAGAGGACATTAGTTGGGCGGTGCCTGTGGCTCAGTGAGTAGGGCGCTGGCGGGTTCGAACCTGTCCTCTGCCAAACTGCAACAAAAACAACAACAAAAATAGCCAGGCATTGTGACGGGCGCCTGTAGTCCTAGCTACTCGGAAGGGTGAGGCAAGAGAATCGCCAAAGCCCAAGACCTAGAGGTTGCTGCAAGCTGTGATGCCACTGTACTCTACAGAGGGCGACAAAGTAAGACAGAAAAAAAAAAGGAGGACATTAGTCATTGGATTTATTACTCATTACCTTGTATTATTGACCTAGTATAGCTATATTATAATCCTTCAAGGCCCACCCTGAAGTCTCCACCTCTGAGGGCCTCTGTAGCTCTCAGAGAGTTCTCCTTTGCCAGAAACCTACTCACACTCATCCCATACCTATTCCTTGGTTACTATGTGTCTCTGTCTAATTTCGCTAAGGAAATTGTAAGCTCCGTGAAGACCTTGCCTTCAATGTCACTTGCTCAGGAGGCCCGGCTTGGCCCCACCCTGCAGTGCCTTTCACAGGGCCTTTAGCCTCTGACCCCTCCTGAGATTTCTGTCTTTCCCGTAAGACTCTCAGCCCCATGTTTTGCTCACAGCTGTTTCCAGGGCCTAGCTCAGACCTTGGCTCATTAGCTTGTTATTAACCTCATATAACTATATTTTGATACTATAGGCATCAGATGAAGAACCCAAGCCTGAACAAGAAAATAGCATACTGGTTATATGACTGTCGCATACAGGTGGAAGGAGCTACAGGGAGGAGAAGGAAGTTAAATAATTGGGGAAGGATACACCTGAATGGCCAGTGAGGTTCTCAGTGTGCAAACAGCAGAATTTTCAGAGATGGTTTATATAAAAGGAATGATCAGACTGCCTGCCTATGTCTTGGATAACCATCCATCCAACCTCCTTCAGATAGTCCCCTGACAGGCACCGTTTCTGGTGGGCATTTTTTTTTTTTTTTGAGACACAGTCTCACTATGTCACCCTCAGTAGAGTGCTGTGGTGTCACAGCTCACAGCAACCTCAAACTCTTGGGCTTAAGCAATTCTCTTGCCGCAGCTGAGACTACAGGCATCTGCCACAATGCCCGTCTATTTTTTTGTTGTAGTTGTCATTGTTGCTGGCAGGCCCAGGCCAGGTTTGAACCCAGCAGCTCTAGTGTACGTGGCCGGTGCCCTAGCTGTTGAGCTACAGGCACTGAGCCTGGTTGGCATATCTGTCAAAGTGTCACACGACACTCTGGCCAGGTACCTCTGGCCACCTTTGCTCTTAGCTCTAGGTAGCCAATAAGGTGCTTGCCAAAGATGACCTAGTAAATTCAGAGCAACGGAAGCCTCTACCTACACCTTTGTGTTTCATACTGAGAAGCCCATAACTTGGACTTAGCCCAAACTCCAAAGCCAGAGTGTTCAGGTGACACCGGTCAGGTGCCTGTTTTGAGCAGGCAAAATTGTCTCTCTCTTTTGTAGTTTCTTCCTTTGAAAAAATGGGGAAATGGTCCCCTATCCTTAGGGATAATGTGAGAATTAAATGAGTAAATGTAGGTGAATCCTTCATAAAATGATAGCTGTGTGTTAATATTATCGTTACTACTCAGCCTCCTTTATTTTAACCGGCACTGGTCCGTGACTGTTTTGGCAAACATTCTCAGGACACAATTTTGTTTCTTCCTTTTGATATGAAGTTTTATTCTACAGAGGGGGTTCTCAACCTTGGCACTATTAACATTTGGGGCCAGCTGGTCCTTTCCCACGGGAGCTGTCTTGTGCAGGATGAGGTGTCAGCTGCTTTCCTGGCTGCTTTCCCTGCTAGGTGCCAGCAGCGCCGCCTCGGCTCTGATGTGCAAAAGTATCTCCAGACATTGCCAGATGTCCCTGGGATGGCGGAGTAAGTCATCCCCAGCTGAGAACCTCTGGTCTAAACACAGATTCAACCCCACCGTGATTTCTCTGTAAATGAGAATTTGAAGAGAATGGTACAATCTCTGGCTGATTCATAGCTTTCATAAGAAGATGGTAGATAGGGCATGTATATCTGAGCTTCCTTAAGTAGATGCCATTTTTTTCAAGTATTCTATCTCCTTATTTCCTTAAAAAAAAAAAAAGAGCCTTGAAATTCTCTATAAATGTGCAAAATGAATTTTGGCAAAATTGGTTCTGGAGTTGCTGAATGAAGTCTCTGAGAGACTCAGGGCCTGAGAGCGAGGGATTCCGCAGAAACTGTGATTATAGAGTTTCCACAGCAGCTTAAACAGAGTTGAATCCCAGGGGCTTACCCTGCTGTCACAGAGAATATGAATAATGAAACTTACCAATATTGTACATGAAACTGAAAAGAGGGTGATGCGTAAAATATCCATGGTAGGAGGGATAACTAAGGGTGAATTATTTTCCAACTTGAGAGATTTGGGTAAGCATCAGCTATCACGAGGCCTGCACTGTTGAATCTAACCCTACCAAATGTATTGCTAGGTGCAGTTAAACTGAAGCTGAGTTTTCCTGGTTACTGTCATACTCTTGGACATCTTCTCTGTGACATTCTCAGTTTCTCCACAGGAGGATTCCGACGAAGTGTTCAGCTTTTTCCAGAGAGCAAGGGTCCTGGCAGTGAGGAGGACCATAAAAGTGGTCCCATTTTGCTTCCCCTCCTCACATCAGGGGAAGTAGTAGCAAGTGAACGTGCCGTGCCAGGTCATAACCTAAAGTAACACGATGAGGTAGCACCTGGAGAGGAAAGTGCCTTCCTGGGCTTTAAACTCAAAGAGCCTTAACCCCCACTCTGCCATGTGATCTCTCCAGAGCCTCACTTGGCTTGATTTGATGTTATCTGAGACTCAGAGATGGCACATTTAAGGTGTGTACCTGTGACAGTGCTTGACACCTAGAAATTCTGTCCTGGTTGATAACAAGATGACAAAACAAAGACAACAATAAACATATCCACCGAGATCCTATATAAATTATAATTTTCATAAAACTCACCCATCTTATGTGTATAAGTCAATGATTTTTGCAAACCATCACATTTATAGTAATGCATTATGTAATCATCATCACAATCCAGTTTTAGAACATTTCCATGCCCACCCAGCCCCCAAAGATCCCTTATGCCCATTTATAGCCAATTCTGTTCCCACCTCCAGCCTCAGGCAACTGATCTGTTTTCTATTGCTACAGATTTGCCTTATCTGGACGGTTCATAGAGATGGAATCATGTGATCTATTCTTTTGTTTGTGGTTCCTTTCACCTCCCCTTATGTTTTTAACCCTCAAATACTTTTAATCCCTTTCCAGCAAGATTACTTACTCTATATGTGGCCAATTCTTTAAATTTTATGAAGTTACCCTGTTAGTTAAAACAGGTAAAATAGGTAAAAATAGGTGGTGGTATCCCCATTTTATAGAAGAGGAAACTGAGGCACAGTGGCCAGTTTGGTGGCAGAGAAATAAGTAGATCTCTGTCTTCCCGGCACAAGGCTATAGGCTTTGCACCAGTGCTTGAATGCTGCTCTGATCTCTGGAAATTATTTATTTGGGAAGGAAATAGAAGAAAGAAAGACATTCGCAGACTGTCTGGAGATATGAAGAAAAGGGAAGCTTAGTAGGAAGGCCGGGCTGTAGGTCTGGCAAGATAATAAACCCCTGCCAGACGAGCCCTTAAAAAGTCTTTCTACTTCCTTATTTTTCAGACGAGATTTTTTTTCCCCCTTCCCCAAAATCTTCCCTCAAAATCTATGAAAAAGGTATTTTTAATGGTGTCAATCTCAAAGATTTAATTTGATACATAAGGTAATTAAACACAGTTGGACTCATACTACACATCCAAGTGACATTTCAGTTTATTATCATATGAAATGTAAAAATTCCAAATGTAGTCTCTTTTCCAGGTCAGGTACGTGTAAGTCAGAGCTTCAGAGCTACACTGGGGGTGACTCTGCCCCTCCCCCCTGCTCCTGCCCCACTTGCCCTCTCCCCTGGCAGGAAGACCTCTCCTGCCTCTCTCCCCTCCCCTCTCCTGGTGATTGTCTGGCTTCTACCTTCAAGTATGGGAGGGGAGGTCGGGTGCAGGGGACAATGCCTTCTCAGTCCCCCTGTGACTTCAAAGATGAGTTCTGGGCAGTAGCCTGCCACTTGTCCCAACTTGTGCGTCTGAGCACTGGGTAAAGGCCCTGAGAACCGAAGGGCCTTTGCCTTCAAATGTGAAGTTAGGTGTGTGTACAGTGCTGGATGGATGTGTGGTTATGAAGGAGCAGTGTGTGCAGCTGTGTGTCAGGGGTGGCAGGCTGGAGCCCCTCTGTCCCTAGGCCCTGCTGCTGGGCTCATTGCGCAACGCACACAGACGTGAGCTCCTGCTCTCTGCTCAAGGAACCCTTGGTGGGCTCTCATTGGGACCTTAGAATCGGGGGCCTCTGCCTTCTGTGGGGATGAGGAGAAGGCCCTTCAAGAAGGTGAAGGTAGGGTCCCTGTTTCACATCAGACTTCTGACTTTATACATTGACATTTTAAAAACACGCCATCACCTTTGCCCACAGGTTTTCCCATGTAGCTTCGGTGTAAGTACCTGTATATGTTTCACTGAGAGCAACACAGATGTGCGTGTAATTCTGAGCCTGTCAGAAAGACCCGGCCTCACCGTGGCCAGCCTCACCACACGGAGACTGACTCCTGTGTATGTTTGTGCAGGTCGAAACAGTGGGGCCTGGGAAACGAAGTCATCTTCTTCACCTGCTGCGCCATCCCCACTGCCGAGGGCTGGGTGAGTGCCTGTTGCAGAAATGCAGGAAGCGGCTCTGTGAGATCCGAGGGGCTGGCGTGAGAACCCCCTGCTCTCTTGACTTTCACCGAAGTTCTCCTTCACCCCATGGCAGGCTGTAGGTTGGACTCCAGGGTCCCTGCTAAGTTGAAAATTAGGAGACTTTCCTCCCATGAAGTTTCAGTTACATCTTGAGTTCACTGATTTTCTGTGTCCCATAAGGCACCTGACTATCAGAGGCTCCAGCACCGAAGTCCCTCTGAGACCTTCTAGCAGGATCCATCTTTACTTCCTCCGCTTCAGCTTCTCTTTCAAGTAGCTAAGAGTCTGCAAATAAGCACATGCGTGTCCCTTCATAGCACACTCCAGGGTGCTCTATCAAAGCCACCCTGCTCAGGCTTCTTTCCAAAGAGAGACTTAGGCCAGGCACGGTGGTTCACACCCGTAATCCCAGCACTGTGGGAGGCCCAGGCAGGAGGATCCCTTGAAACCAGAAGTTTATGACCAGCCTGGGAAAAATAGATAAACTTCATCTCTACAAAATATAAGAAAAAGTAGCCAGGCATGGTAGTGTATACCTGTAGTCCCAGCTACTCAGAAGGCTGAGATAGAAGGATTATTTGTATCTAGGAGTTCAAGACTGCAGTGAGCTATTTTCTTTTTTTTTTTTTTGAGACACAATCTCAAACTGTCACCCTTGGTAGAGTGCCATAGAGTCACAGCTCACAGCAACCTCAAACTCTTGGACCTAAGCGATTCTCTTGCCTCAGCTTCCCAAGTAGTTGGGACTACAGGTGCCTGCCATAACGCCCGGCTATTTTTCGGTTGCAGTTGTCATTGTTGTTTAGCAGGCCCAGGCTGGGTTCAAACCCACCAGCCTCAGTGTATGTGGCCAGCACCCTACCCACTGAGCGATAGGCACTACCTGCAGTGAGCTATAATGATGAAACTACACTCCAGCCTGGGCAAAAGAACAAGACCCTGTCTCAAAAAAGTAAAAGCGAGAGTCATTCTTTGTTATTGTATTTAAGTGCTTTGTAAAGACAAATGTGAATATTGTAGTGTGTTAATATTACAAACTATGACTCCATGAAATTAGGCTGGCTCAATAGGTTATTTTAAAAATATATTTAAACACATCTAAGCAGGCCTGCATGACTATAATCTTAATTTGGCCTCTATGTAAACCAAAGAAAGCCTTAATTTCAGGGTTTTATTAACCAAAACTGCATTTATCAGCTCAGCTTTATCACTTCGGGGAAGTTACTTAGTCTCTCTGTGCCTCAGTCTTCCTCCCCAAAATGTGATAATAATATCCATTTTAAAAGGTCACTGTAAGGTTTAAATAACATGTGAAGAGCCTAATCCAGTGCTAGGCTCTTATAATTGTTAGGATTCTTCTCCCATACCTCAGCTTTCAGCTAAAAACAGAAAGGGGAGGAGGAGAGTGAGAGGAGAGGAGAGGAAGGAGAGGACAGGAAAGCGGAAGAGAGGGGAGGGGAGGGGAGGGGAGGGAAGGGGAAGAGAGGGGAGGGAAGGGGAGGGAAGGGGAGGAGAGGAGAGGAGAATGAATTTAAGGTAAACAGAAGACAACCATAAAACCTTAGCAATATTAGATTCTGGTTTCTATTGGAACCAAGACAAACTGAGATGTTAGCGCAGACAAGCACCTCCAGGACTACAAATCAGTGTTTTTCAAGATTTTTGTGGTCTTGGATCTTTCTGTTTGAATAAAATCATATGTAGAAGTTGAGGGGAGAGTAGTCCCCTGTCAGGACAGAAGCTGACACGGGAGAGCTGGGGCTACAGCCTCACCTGAGAAGCCCCCTCTTGCCTCCACCCTCTGTTATTGGGCAGTAGCCCAGGGCACTGCTGGGAAAGGGGAAAGGCTGGGCAGACACACTATGAAGACCCTGATTCTGGTCCTTATTTCACAGGTGAGGAAACTACAGCTCAGACTTGCCTCACAGCCGAGAGAAAGAAGCCCAAGAAATTAGTAGCAGAACTAAAACAAAAGCTCAGTTCCGTTAACTCCCTGGCAACTAGGCTCTTGCTTATCCCCAGCTAACCCCTTCCCCATCTGTCAGAGGGCTCTGTCCAAGGCTGGGAAGATGTAATTAAATCCCACTTCCACCCCTCACTGCCCTCCAAGGATGTCTTCTGCATCCTCTTATCACTTTCATCATTCTGGTTTAAATCGGAGAGGAAAACGATAGTCAGCTCCACTTTGTCTTCACTGTGTTTTAACGAAGCTAATCTCTCTCTATTCCCCCAGGAAAAAGCCAGCTATCCCACTGAAGACAGTAAGTTAATTTTGCGTTTAAAAGTGCTCCTTATTTCCTGCAGTGTTTATTTATATCCACTTATTTAAAGGTGAAAATGCTTCTAGTGCTGGTGAACACAGCAATCTTAGCAACTGAGGTTGCTTCCCAGACAGTCCAAGAGAAACTATCAATCCTCAGGTAGCCAGGGAAAATGCTGCCTGGGAGGGGCTCACCGTCCCTTGACCCTGGGGGCCTTGCGAAATGCCGGCAGATCAGACGGGGCAGGTGGGCCTTACCTTCCCATAGGCACATGTAGGCCTCACTAAACTCAGATTCTGGTCAGAACCTGGTAAAGGTTCCCCTGCTATGTGATTTAGCAAACAGGCAGACAGAGGGACCATGAAACCAAAGCCAGAGGCCAGATGTCCCTGCATGAGCTGTCCCCACCCTGTTGACAGAGCAGGGAGGTTGCTGCTGCTCCGTCACATGGTGCTTCTACCTGGTTGTCCCTTAATGCAAACACTGGGCTGAGGACTGGGGGTTCATCCTTACTGTTGTGATTGAACAAAGAGCAATGCATTCAAGAGAAGTTCTCCTAAAACATCTATTTTAATAATATTGTTCCTCTTCTATTTCCTCATTCTGCTGTACTGAATATCCTCGCCCATTTTTTTTTTTTTTTTTTTTTTACATAGACTCCAGTTGACTCTCAACAGAAAGCCTCAAGCATTTGCGAAGGTAAATCTATTATTTTGAAAGATAAGCTTGTCTTCTAAGAAGTTATTTTATTTAAGGATTTGTATACAATGTATTTCTAAATGTCTTTCATTATTTTTCAGGATTGTAAACATAAAACCCAATTTTCTAAACAAAATGATCTTTTACCTTGCAGTGCGTAGTGAATAGCAAAACTATCTGGGAACCTGAACTGGCTGGGTAGGGTCTTTAGAGCGGGTTACAATCTATACACCAAAAGGCTTCCCGTTTTCAGACTTACCGGGAAACAACATCATGGCCCTCACTGAAAACTCACTGAGAGTCGTTCAGCTTTCTTAGAACTACTAGTTTAGTTAAGGTAATGAGAATTTTAGAAATCTGTTTATTTGAACCAGTTCTTTTGCTAAATTTCCAAAGTTGAAATTCTGGCTTCTGATGACATCTATAAATGTTTTTCTTCTTTTGTTTTATCATGCCTCAAAAACCACACCCACACACACCCCCACACACAATCTTTATGGACACCCTGGGTGTATATGTATGTGTACAAACACACATATATACATATACATATATACACACATATGACTATTTTGGAATTTCCTCAGTTTAAAAAATTTTGTATCATACTGGGAAAAAAGCAGAGGTAAGAATCATCTATTCATATACTATCAACAATATAGAAACTGACATTCTGCACCCGTCTAATGCTACACTCGAAGGTCCCCAAGGTTGAAATGGTTCTGAGTATCTTCACCATGCCGAGTTCACGTGGGCAGATGCTCACAAAGTGCTCTGTTTCTCTGACCATGGACATGGATCTTCCTGAGTATATACAGGAGTATACTTCCTGAGTATATATACGACCTCTCTGTTTCTGTGGCTCCAGGAGGCGTTTGCCACCCCATTTCTCACATCCTTTCCCCTCAGGCTCCGCTGAGTCATCACTCTTTTTCCTCTGTCTTGCTTTCTTCTGCCTTGCCTTTGATGTTTTCGTATTTCCATCCTTCCTTTCCTTGCAGTCTCTCATGCCTATGGAGTGGAGAGCATGAAGTAAGCTTCTGAGCCTCTGTAGGAAGTTAAGTACAACCTTGTGCAAGCTCCTTGCCTGCTGGAACCTCCTAAAACCAGGAGAGAAGAGGCTCACGGCATGCTCCCTGCTGCCCAGGTATCTTTGTTCTCAAAGGGCTCCAGGACAGGAGCTTGGCACACCACCTCTTTTGCTACTTGTTGCAAGAGCGGAGACAATGGCCATCCAAACTCAAAGTGAAGGAGTGGCCTCTGCTGGCCTAGGAAGGAAGCCTCGAAGACAGTGGAGGCAATGCAGGTGTGGTCAAAGCTCATAGGCTTTTAGGACCTAAGTATTCATAGTTTCTCCTTCTGAAATTACCAAGTCATGAGCTAAACATCTAATAGATGTTCTAAGTAACTTGCTGCAAATTCAACATATAACCTTCAGAGGTTCAAGGCTTCTGAACTTCAGTGCACCATGAAAAACCCTCAAATCTATCTTACCATATACCTGAATCTGAGTTTTTACTACTTTTATTCTTTTGGGGTTTCTATAGTTCTCATCTTTGTCTCTATACAGGAGACTCCTTCATGGATGCACCAAGATTTCAGCATACCCCCAGACCAAATTTGAGGGAAAGGAAAACATGAAAATAATTTGTGATCACATTTATTGGTTCAGAAAGTTCACTATGGACTTCAACCAAAATTTCTTACCTTTCGAATTTATTCTTACTTTCTACCCCTTCCTCTTCTGCTCGGGAAAACACAGTGAAATGCAAGTGGGTTTAGCATTATTATATCCAGTAAATGTTTCAAAAAGAGTAGATCGGCTTGGTGCCTGTGGCTCAAGCAGCTGAGCTGGCAGGTTCGAATCCAGCTCGGGCCCACCAAACAACAATGACGGCTGCAATAAAAAAATAGCTGAGGATTGTGGTGGGTGCCTATCGTCCCACCTACTTTGGAGGCGGAGGCAGGAGAATCACTTGAGCCCAGGAGTTGGGGGTTGCTGTGAGCTGTGATGCCACAGCACTCTACCCAGAGTGATAGCTTGAGGCTCTGTCTCAAAAAAAAAAAAAAAAAAAGAGTAGATCATTCACAATCTCAATAGTTTACCTCTCATCAGTAACAAACACATATACTACATCTGTGACTAATCAAGACACCAGGATACTGTAATACCCTTGTGGAGGCTGCATGGAAATAGAGGGTGAGTTGTTCAGAGAATGGCTAAAACTTGTCTTCTGGCTCCCATCTGTACTCAGAGGCTTAAAGGGCCAGACCCACAGGTTCAGTCTCTCTGGACGTTGGCAGAGGATGAACCCTGAGGCGGGGTGTGCCCTTGTACCACTGTCAAGGGCGGGAGCAGTCCTGGTCTTTGTCGCCCAAGACACCAGCAGACTGTCAAGCGCACAGACCACAGATATCCTGGGATGTGCCCGGGAAGACATCTGACTAAATTTGCTTCTTCTTGGCAGATATTGCTAAGTTTGGGGATGAGGACAGTCCTTTCACTCTAATCGTAATATGCGGATTTTCTTCATTCAGAGAAACCTATCCCTGCTGAACGCCACCGAGGGTCTAGTCACAGACTAGAAGCTGCACAGTCGCCAGTGTTTCCTCCTGCCCAGAAGTAAGAATCCTTTTCTTTAAAAATAAGTGACCCATGTGAACCCTTATATTAATTTGAAATAAAAAATAAAAATAAGTGTCCCCTGGGTGCTGCAGAAATTAACATGCACATGGGCACGTGGCACAGCAACACGGGCTGGCAGTGCTTGGTAAAGAGGCAACATTGTATTGTTCCGCCATTAAATTTTGAAAGATTTTAAACCACGTGGAGCTGCAGAGATCTGTAATTGGGCTACTTATTGGACTTGGCTAACGTACAACTCCTCAGTCAAGGCTCCTCCTTCTTTTTCAAAACTAAAGAGAAAAAATAATCCCACCTATCTAACTTCAAGGTTTGGGTGCCTGTCCTATCTTTAGATGTGTTTTACTGGCCTTTGTTCACAGTGTTGTCAGGGTAAACAAAAAGTCAAACTTATTCCTGTTGCGCTTTGCCCTTTTATTAACCTGAAGTTCTTCCTTTCAGACACATCCACCAAAAACCCATCCCTCTGCCAAGTAAGTACAATGCAGTCATGAAGAGCAATATCAGGTAGTGGTCCAGGCTGGACCTTGGTGTCTGACCCACCTCCTAACTCTCCACGGTCATGTCCAGCCACAGGATCTGGCTGTCTATCTCTTGCTTGTTTCCTCGTCTATAAGATGGAACCCAGAATATTTACTTCATAGAGTTATTTTGAAAAATAAATAGATTTGAGATAACTTTTATTTTTTTAGTATTGATTTATATTAAGTCAATTTAATTATGGGTCATGCATCTTTTTTTTTTTATATATAAAAGCAAGACAACTGTTTTCAAAATAAGAAGATTAAGTAAAATAACACATGGAAAGTACATGGTATACTGCACGGTAGGTTTTAGAAGGTCCTCAATAAATAATAGTTATTTAAATTAAACTTAAAATATATTTGAATGATCATAAAAATATCCACAAAAGGAACCCTAAAAAGAGGAGATGGCAAATATTAGAATAATTTTCTCAAGGCCAATGTTACCCTAAAAATATGTGAATCGGATAAGTCAGACTCACAGAATGTGACTAACTGCCCAAATCTTAATTTGCTTTCTACCCAGTACAGAAAAAAAAGAAGAAAAAACTCTGCCTTACATAGATAATTTGGGATATTTCTAAAATAATCAATATTAAGTCCATGGAAATAAATAAATAGGGTAATTGTTATGTGCAAAGAATGTGTATATATATATTACTAAACATCAATGTTTTTTAGGTTTGAATAACATTTTGTATTCATCTTAAATAAATAACACTTTCACAAATTTTTTTTAATTCTGACAATACAAAGTAAAAGTAATTTGGCTATAAAAACTTAGTTTTCATTAATTAAAAAGCTTTTATTGTTTTTCAACCCAAGTCATTCTTAACAGTAACAATTAGTCATAATTGTTACTATTGTAGGCACAGGGAATACAAGATGGATAAAATAAAGACCCTATTCTCATGAAGCTTACATTCTATTGAAGAAGACAGACAGTAATAATAAACACATAAATAATATCCTATCAGGTAAATGCTAAAGTGCTATGAAGAAAAATAAGTTAGGTGTGTAAGGCAGAGTTTTTTCTTCTTTTTTTTCCTGCTTAGATGGGGGTAGATGGAGGGTCTGGGAGGCCTCTATTATAATATGGGGATAAGAGCTCCTCCCACAAAGAGCTGGTATGAGAATAAGATGTGCTGACATGTTGAAAACAGAACAGGCCTGGCATATATTCAGGCTCAGAGAATGTCAGCCAGGGTGACTCTTCCAACTGGCCAAACTGCAGAAACCAGCCTGCCCTGCGTGGTATATCTTGGGAGAAAGTCTGCCCACCCATCTACCTTTACTGCTTTTGTCTGGGAGTAGAATGTCCTCAATTACAGTTCATCCTTCCTAGCCAGATACATTGGTTATAATCCTAGCATTCTGGGAGACTGAGGCAGGAGGACTGCTTAAGATCAGGAGTTCAAGACCAGCCTGAGCAAGAATGAGGCCCATCTCTGCAAAAAAATAGAGAAATTAGTCAAATGTGGTAGCAGGTACCTGTAGTCCCAGCTACTAGGGAGGCTGAGGCAGGAGTATCACTTGCGCCCAGGAATGGGAGGTTGCAATAAGGTATGATAATGCCTGGGCAACAAAGCAAGACCCTGCTTCAAAAAAAAAAAAGAAAGAAAGAAAAGAATACATTCTTCCTTTAGGCCAATGGTTCTCAACCTGTGGGTCGTGACCCCTTTTTAACGATGAAAATACACTGTGGCATTAGGAAGGTTGAGAACCACGGCTTTAGGCCTTGACTCTGTTGGGACAGCCACCCTCCCCTGCCCCCTTGTATTGCAGTAGTGGCTGCCTTCTTTGTACATCCAGGGAGCTATTATCTGAAGCATTTAGTTCATCCCAAACTATTTCTCCTGCAGACTTCTCTGTCTTGATAAAGGACAGCTCTGGTTGCTTTGGTGAAAAACCTTAGAGCCACCCTTGACTACTTTCTTGCTTTTCCTCACACACCTTCCAGTTGCTCCTTCAAAGTAGACCCAGAACCCAATCACTCTCACTACTTCCACTGCCATGATCTGTTCCAAGCCACCTTCATCTCCTGCAAAGAACCCTGAACTGGCCTCCCTCTCTGCTCTTGCCCCGCTCTCTTTCCAATCCAGGAGCCGGAGTGACCCTGTTAACACAGGCAGATCATGCTACTCCTCTGTTTACAACCCTGCAAAAGCTTCCCGTATCTTGTTTGTTAAAGCTGAGTCACGTAAATCTGGTCTCCAACCATTGCCTTCTGTCTGACTTCATTCCTTATTCTTGTCCCCCTTTCTCACTGTCATCCAGGCACAGCAGCCCCCTTGCTTTTCCTTATATGTGCCAGGGCCTCACATTCACTGTTCCCTTGCCTGGAACGTTTTTTGCTGAGATATCCACATGCCTCCTCCCTCTCCACCTGCTGGTCTTACCCAAGTGTCACCTCAGGGAGGCCTTCCTTCCCTGTTTCATTTTCCTCCATAGCATTAGTGACTCTGTAATATTACATATATAGTTACTTATGTCTGTATTGCTTATCTTGGAATTTAAGCGTCCGGGGCAGGGCATTTTGCTGTTTTAAGGACGTAAGAATGAATGAATACAGCTGTGGATCTTCTCCATTTCATATGCTCCACATTCACATTATAAATTCCTTTAGGAAGTTTATGCCTGAAGGTAGTAATTCTCAAACATTTTGGTCTCAGGACTACTTAAAATCTTTACAAACCCAAAGAACTTTACATGCTTCTTTCTATTAAGATTTAGTGTGTTGGCTCGGCACCTGTAGCACAGTAGTTACAGAGTCAGCCACATACACCGAAGGTGGTAGGTTCAAACCTGGCCCGGGCCTGCTACATAACAATGCTACATAACAACTGCTACAAAAAATAGTCGGACATTGTGGTGGGCACCTGTAGGCCAAGCTACTTGAGAGGCTGAAGCAAGAGAATTGCTTAAGCCCAAGAGTTGGAGGTAGCTGTGAGCTGTGATGCTATAGCACTCTACTGAGGGCAACATAGTGAGACTCTGTCTCAAAAAAAAAAAAAAAGATTTAGTGTGTTAAGAGTTAAAATGGAGACATTTAAAACGTTTGTTAATCCATTTAAACAGTATATAATTCATTATATATTATATAACATATTTTTGTGGAAAAATTCTATACTTTCCAAATGAAAATAATTTAGGAGAATGGCATTGTTTTATATTTTATAGATCTCTTTAAAGTCTGGAATAAAGACTCCAGACTGGCGGATTCTTATATCTTTTTCTGTACCCAATCTGATGCAATATTTTTTTCTTGTTGAAATATATGAAGGAAATCAGGCTTCATAGAGACAGGTAATCAGATAAGAAAGGACTTTTTGAACACCTGAATGAATCTTGGGTATTCCCAGAAGTCCTTACACCACATTTTTTTTTTATAGACAGAGTCTTATTTTGTCACTCTTGGTAGAGTGCTGTGGTGTCACAGCTCACAGCAACCTCCAGCTCTTGGGCTTAGGTGATTCTCTTGCCTCAGCCTACTGAGTAACCCACCACCCTTGGTATATGGGGCTAGCGCCCTATTCACTGAACCACAGACGCCCCCTTAAACCACATTTTGGAACTGGCGCCTTAAAAGATTTCTTTTGGTGAGCATGTCCCTGGCAACACCCAGTACAGTGTTGGGGTGTGAACATTGTGACTGCTCAAGAAATAGTGAAGATGAGTAAAGGACTTTCGAATCCCTTTCAGGGTTTCCAGAAGGAGGAAGCCCAACCGTGGATGGGCCGTCACCCAGCTTTTCACCTAATTCCACTATTTCAGAACAGGTATGAAACGATCGCTTCATGTCATTAAATGGTTACCAGGAACCCACAGGAAAGTGCATGTCTTCTGAGAAGAGAGAGTTTGGAGTGAAGCTTAAGAACACAGTCAAAATTTAAATCAGTTTTTGAGTTGTCATTTGCTGATGGGCCCAGTTTTTTCAATAACTAAGACTTTGCTCTGCTCCAGTTGTATTCCAGATGCCCTAAATAACAATTAGAGTTTCTCTGAAATGAGCAAGGAAACATGTTGATCTCGTCGTTGTTCCTCTCACATAGATTTCATTTAAACTTTGTATTATAATTTCCTTTAGAATACATCTGTGGAGGCTTTTGATATTAAAACACATACAAGACGGCACAATTGAAAGAAACAGAGAAAAGACTCTGGCTGCCCTTGGACTTTTTACATACTTGTAAATCTAAAAAGATATGTAAAGATATAAAGTACGTAAACATGTAAAATAAGGAAGATAGTATGTATCTTTTTTGTCTTCAAAGAGGGCATGTATTCTTTCTTGGAAGAATCAAGTAAGATAATACTTGTAAAAACACTTTGGAAATTATAAAGCACTCCATAAAACAACAATAAAAGTACAATGGAGAGAGGGATTATTACATATTTAGGAGAAGGAAATAGATGGTTCAGGAATCTTAATGGATTCCGAGTACTAAGTGTAGTAGCTAAGGCCAAATTATGGGGCGGGGGGAAGTCAATGGGAAAAACAGTAAAACATATCCTTGTGGTTTATCAAAGGAAGCATAAAACTCACTTTCCAATGATTGGTCCAACTGTAGAGAGGCTTATGTTGGTAATCCAAATGGGGCTTTGTTTGTGGTGCATAGAAGTTACAGAGTGGTTTGATGACCAGCTCACACTGACCAATGCTGTCTGTTTCATAGGAAGCTGATGTTCACTGTAAGCCATGGTATGCTGGTGCCTGCGACCGAAAGTCTGCTGAAGAGGCATTACACAGATCAAACAAGGTATAATCACTTTTAAATCCTATATTTTGCCCTCAGCCTATAATAGGCACAGTTGTCTTTCTGACAATATCTTAATTAAATAATTGCAACAATTATGAATGTAGCGATCTTTTTCCTTTACTACCCAAGAGAAATTGCCACCCCTTCTCTCTTTCAATCATCTCCCTCTTTCTTCCTCCATCTCATTTCTTTTATTATTTATTTAAATATTTTTTGTGGATCCTGCAGACTTTTTATATTTAAAGTCTCAGAGTTTTGGCTGGGCGCAGTGGCTCATGCCTGTAATCCTAGCACTTTGGGAGGCTGAAATGGGAGGATTGCTTGAGTTCTGGAGTTTGAGATAAGCCTGAGCAAGAGTGAGTGAGATCCTGTCTCTATTACAAATAGAAAAATTAGCTGGGCATTGTAGCAGGTGCCTATAGTCCCAGCTATACAAGAAAGTGAAGCAAGAGGATCACCTAAGCCCAAGAGTTTGAGATTGCTGTATGAGTTATGATGATGCCACAGCATTCAATCCCAGGGTGACAGAGTGAGACTGTGTCTCAAAAAATAAAACATTTAAAAACTTTTAAAAAATTAATAATTAAAAAAAAGTCTTATAGCTTTACCAGAATATGTCTCTGAGTTGATTGTTCCAGGTCAATTTTCTCAGGTAGACAGAAGCCCTTTTAATATGTAGATATAAGTTTTCTCTTATATCCAGTAAGTTGTCTTGGATTATAGTCTTTTTTTTTTTTTTTTTAAATCAGAGTCTCACTTTGTCGCCCTTGGTAGAGTGCTGTAGCATCACCACTCACAGCCACCTCCAGCTACTGGGCTTAGGCGATTCTCTTGCCTCAGCCTTCTGAGCAGCTGGCACTACAGGTGCCCACCACAATGCCTGGTTATATTTTTGTTGCAGTTTGGCCGGGGCCAGGTTTGAACTCACCACCCCTGTATGTGGGGCTGGTGCCCTACTCACTGAGCCACTGGTGCTGCCCAGATTATCGTCTCAAGCTCTGTTTCATTGTTTTGTTTTTCTTCTTCCAGGAGTCAATGTACAGGCATTTTGTATCTGTTCTTGTCACTTTTTCATTCCAATAACCTTATTATACCTCTTTTATTAAATCTCTCTGTTTATTGTATTGGTCCAGGCTTTCAATGCCATTTGTTAAATCTTCATTTAAAGCTATAGGCCCTTGGACATATAATTTTTTCTTTATTTCTGATGTGAGTTTGTGTTTTTTCTTTCCTGAGTTGGATCAACTCCTGTTGCATTTCATTTTGCTTTTCTCCATTTATTGTTCACAATTTTTGAATTATAATTCTAGAATATTTTAATAAAATATTTAACAAAATTTGGAGTATTAAGTTACAGTTTGGGGGGAAACTTTTTGTTGTTCTTTTATTTTTATTTATTTATTTATTTATTTATTTTGAGACAGAGCCTTAAGCTGTCCCCCTGGGTAGAGTGCCGTGGCATCACGGCTCACAGCAACCTCCAACTCCTGGGCTCAAGCGAGTTTCCTGCCTCAGCCTCCCAGGTAGCTGGGACCACAGGCACCCGCCACAATGCCCAGCTATTTTTTGGTTGCAGCCATCATTATTGTTTGGTGGGCCCAGGCTGGATTAGAACCCGCCAGCTCAGGTGTATGTGGCCGGAACCTTAGCCACTTGAGCCACAGGCGTTGAGCCTTATTTGCCTTTTTTATTCTCATTTCCTTATGACTGCAGAGTGGAGATTTCCAGAGACTACATGATATGTAGTATTGAGATATTGAATAGTAAGGAAGAGATGAGTATACATTTATCATTAGGTCAGACATTAGAAAGGTTTACTGGTCTTGAACTCCTGGCCTCAAACAATCCTTCTGCCTCAGCTTCCTGACTAGCTGAGATTATAGGCACAAGCCACTGTATTTGGCCTAAAATATTTCTTTGAAAATAGAGTTATTTTTCATAAAAATAGGTCTTTATGTTAACATATGATAGATTTTTTTATTAAGTGAATTAATAGTTTTAACATTTCAGTTTTAATTTCTAATACAGCAAATATGGTCTTTGTTCACATAAAGAAATGCTTTTTTTGTGGTCCTTAATGACCTTTAAAAAGAGTTTAAAGGGGTCATATGATGAAAAATTTTGAGAATCATCTGCATATTTACCAAACTTGAAAAAAATCTTCTTTTGTAAGTTGTCATTTCTGGCCTGGCTCATTGGCTCATGTCTTATAATCCTAGTACTCTGGCAGGCCCAGGTGCAAAGATTGCTTGAACTCAGGAGTTCAAGACCAGCCTGAGCAAAGTGAGAACCTATCTCTACTAAAAATAGAAAAATTAGCTGGGTTGGTAGAGCATGCCTTGTTGTCTCAGCTACTTGGGAGGCTGAGGCAGGAGGATTGCTTAAGTCCAGGAGTTTGAGGTTGCTGTGAGTGAAGCTAAGGCCATGGCACTCTAGCCTGGGTGACAGAGCGACACTTTGTCTCAAAAAAGAAAAAGTAGTTCTATATATTTTGCTGTGTAATATGAATGATTGCTTGAACTCTTTCAAATTTTAGGGGCTAGGTGTGGTGGCTTATGCCTGGAACCACAGCACTTTGAAAGGCCAAGGTATGAGGATTGCTTAAGATCTTGAGTTCAAGACCAACCTGGGCAATGTAGCAAGGCCCTGTCTCTAATAAATAAATAAATGCACATTATAAATGAATTTATTTTAGGTTCCTGGAGGAAAGGGCCTCTTTTAGCATAGTGTAGTATCTTCTTGTTATTGCTGGATGAATATAGGAAACCCTCTGGGTTCCAGGTTGTAGTAATTGGTCGGGGGTCCCTGACACCAGCCAGTGAGTGGCCCTTTGCTTCCTTGTGAGGTTCTGGGTTTATACCCAACTTTACAGATTGCTGCTACTTAAGCTTTCTGTACCTAACCCCTCCACTACCCTTTGTTTTTTCTTTCTTTCTTTTTTTTTTTT